TTAGTTGATTAATGATAAAATAACACTTTTTCATTATTTCATTAATTATAAAAAACAAAAGGGAAGAACGAACATAATAGCAGCGAGCGAAACAAATAAAATCTTAAATATATGATCTTATATAATGTACTAATGTTTCTGTTGTTTTAATATGAACATGTAGTTGATTGATGAGATTTAAGTTATTTTACAATAAACATTCATATTAACAAATAAAATGAAACAAATACAATCGTACATGGATGAATTGTATATGTGCATACATTAAAAAACTTCAATGAACAAAAAAAAAATCAATCATATTTAAAACGTAGAAAAATATGAATTGTATATTTTCTTTGTATGGATTGCCGCAAACGAATATTTATTCCCCGCATAAATCACATGTGATTCACACAATTCTTCGAACCTATTGTAAACTCCATCCTCAAACTCGAGTGTGTTTTTATTGAAGAACTTCGACCTTGAACTTCAAAGTGAACTATTTTACTTCTAATTAATCTAGTTGCCTCAACAAAATGTTTGTTTTGTTAATATGCTACAAATATAAACAATAAACAAAACAAAAATCAATAATATAATACATAATATATAGATGCAAATATATTAAAAAAATGCCAATGGAGAGAGAGAGAGAGAGAGAGAGAGAGAGAGAGAGAGAGAGAGAGAGAGAGAGAGAGAGAGAGAGAGAGAGAGAGAGAGAGAGAGAGAGAGAGAGAGAGAGAGAGAGAGAGATATTTTGAATAAACTTCTAGGTGGCGGGTGTATGATAGTGCCATAGTTTATGTTCGCCTAGTGTTATGGAGATAAAATCTCAAAAATCCGATAAATAAGTTCAGATAAATGTACTTGACCCATAAAACGCACAATAGAAATTCCATATAGTCTCTTATTTTGGATGAATCAAAGACGTCAAATTTCCTATCTTTGGAAAAAATAATCTCATATGCAATACAACCAAACAATAGAAAAGATTGAATTCAAAAAATATAAATCTATCACGGTATTTGATTAATGACAATTTTCCCTAGTCTTATGACATCTGCAAAACAAAAACAAAAACAAAAACAGACATAGTAATAAATACTTATTGCAAAGTACGCTTAGAGTGGATTGAACATACACATAAGACATTACGTACCGAAGACTTTGGAATCGTGATTATAAGCTGCAACCAAAACAATAACAGCGATAAGTAAAATATGAAAACGCAGACAATATAAAACTTAAAACATGTAAATAGAGGTACAACATGTGAATATGAAACACGCATACATTGTTATAAAGTGTCGCTCGAGTAGATGTAAATGCTGGTAAAAATTATATAGATGTAAGGTGTTTATATAGTTTTCAAAATATACACGTTCAAATTTCAAAAATTTGATTTGGGCGGCAATATCAAATAAAGTTTCCTAAAAATTAATTAATCATGATCGGGTCTAAATACGATGAGCATTCTTTCCATATTCAAAACATGTGTAGAATATGTAACATCGAATGAATATATATTTTTACATATAAAATTAATATTTTTACCATAACTGGACATAATTAATATGAAAAGAAATATTATAAAATAATTGAATAAGGAAATATAATTTGAGTAGATTTGATGCATTTGTTTTTAGCATTGATTTGATGCCTTCGTTTTTGGCAATTCGTGTTATTCTTACACCGAAATTATTGCTCGCAAAAAAAAAAAACTAATAATTGCTTTGATTGCAATTATGATTTGATTTCAAAGTCAGCATATATATTGCCATTTACGATTTGCTAACTAAAGGGAAGTTAGGATAAATTGTAAAAGGAAAGTTGTTGGATTTAAATTAGATATTGCATTGTGCATTTATGTCACTACCAAATTCTCACAAACTTAAAATCAGTATATACACAATCAAAATATTTTTATAAATAAATGAATATCAAATATATATATATATATATATATATATATATATATATATATGTATATATATATATATATGTATATATGTATATATATATATATATATATATATATATATATATATGTATATATATATATATGTATTAATACAATCATCGTCTTAATATAATAATGTATTAATAAAAAAAGTATAAATTAATCAAGTATAATTGTTTGAACGTATAATAGAAATACGCAATGTCAAATTATTATTAACAAAAAATATTGTATATTTTTATTAAATAGCACAATGTAAAAATAAAATATTTTTGCTAATATATTTTCTTTATTGAATGGATATTATATTGCAAAATATTGAGAAAAAAAAACTGCATTCTTTTATTTTAATATTTTAATATTAAAAAAAATCCTGAAAATTATTTGAATTTCGTAAAAAAAATTGAGTATCCTGAATTTGTTCAATAAATATATTTTGAAATATTGAAAATATAAACTCAAATTTTTTTCGAATTTATATAATATTAAATTAGTAAATAACATACATGTGGTAATTGTTTAAATGAGTGTATAAATGTTAAATAGGAAATAACTTAAATACATACCAAAATAAAATTGACAACTCACCAATTGAAGAATCCACCTCATCAATTGAATTCCAACTAAGCAATTTTGATAAATGACATCATCATTTGCCACATGTCAATCATTGAGGACATAGATTCTCTTTTTATATTATATATAGATATATATTATATAACGGGCAAATTAATGAGTGAGAGAAAATCATTTAAGAAAAAGAAAAAGCTTCTTCAGTTTCAAGAAAAATGGAAGCACCACCAGAGCACCTCCCTCAGATTCTGACGCCGTGCAGCAGTGGAAGAAGAAGCAGCGCCGATTCGAGGTCGCCGGAGTTCGAGTTTTGGATGATCAGAAACCCTTCTTTTCCTCAGCCCAATCTCCACTCCGCCGACGAGCTCTTCTCCAACGGCGTGCTCCTCCCCCTCCCCCTCCACCGCCTCCATCTCTCCACTACTGAGGATCCGCCGCCGCCGCCGCAGGCAACCGAGTCGGGTCGGGTCACGGCGGCGGATGCCGAATCTTCTAGTGTTGAGTCGTCGGCTGGAGCTTCGTCTTTTACCTCCTCGAAGCGGTGGAGGGATATTTTCAAGAAATATGACAAGAAAGATGTAATTAGTGTTAGAGAGAAGGATGTAATTATTAGTGTTAGAGAGAAGAGGAGAGAGAAGAAGAACGGCGGCGGCGGCGGTGTTACTGCGGCGGAGCTCAACATAAATATTTGGCCTTTCTCAAGGAGTAGATCCGCCGGGAACGGCGGAGCTCGGCCACGACCGGCGGCGGCAACTCGGAAAGTGAGCAGCGCCCCCTGCTCCCGGAGTAACTCTGCCGGCGAGTCAAAATTCAGGAAGTGGCCCCCCAACAGCCCCAGCAGAGCCGGAGTCCACTTGGGAAGAAGCAGTCCTGTATGGCAGGTCCGCCGGAGCGTCGGCGGCGGCGGCGTCGGCCGGATCTCGGAGACCGTTCTCAAGGGTGCCGAAAAGGGCCTCAAGAAAGATGGAATTGATGCTCGCCGGAATATACCCGGCGCCGGTACCGGAGGTTCCAAAGTTAGAGTATTGGCTCTGAATGTTCCCATGTGCATTGGCTACCGGCAACATCTGGGTTGTAGAAGTGTTGAGAGTAATGCTGGTGGTATCACCGCCGGTGCTGGTGGTGGCGCCGCCGGTGAAGGGGTACGTGGGAGTAATTTGTTTAACATCAGAAGCCTATTTACCAAGAAAGTGTATTAGTATTAAATTAATCACTCTCAGACAAATTACAGCCAGTTTTAATTTTCCCCTTTGTGCAGTAAGTAAAATTTCTTGGCAGTAATTAATTTTCTCTCTCATATATATGTATTAACTACTATTTATGTAATTGACTATATAATAATAATATATATATATAATATAATTAATTGATCAGTAACTTTCTGTTTGTCAATCGAAATGAACTGTTGCTAGATAAATTACATCAATACCCTGCTGGTACTACTCCATTAAATATTTTGTTTTGTGAAGGAATTAAAAAAAAAGTTATATTAAATAAAAAATAACAATGTACATTATAGTCGTTAAATCATGTCTAAAAATGAGAATTAGGAAAATAAAAAGATATTTGTTTATAATTTAATAAATATTTTTATTATTAAAGCAATTAAATCAATTTTTTTTTTTTTATGTTTTTAGTATTTGGGCTTCTTAAAATGCCAAAAGGCCCAATTAGAGTATACAAATGAAGTACTATATTGGGCTTGGGCTTTGTTAAGAAGAAATTTTAATGATCCACAATCTACATCCGAAATTTTAATTAGATTTCTTTTTTTATGGGATATTTTCTGGATTAAATACTAGAAAAACATTCATCCCAAATTTATAAAAAAAAAAAATGGTAGCCAATAAGAAAATTTCTCTCAATTTTATAATAATTAAGTAAAACTTAATTGTTTTTAATTTCAAATTATCACCGATTTCTAAAGAATATAAATAGATAATTATTGATCGTTCCCGGTAAGGCGGTAACCATCAGAAGTTCAGAATTTGGAAATTGGAGATACCGCCGGAAGCGTGATTTTCTCTCTCCACCCCTCTAATGGCGGCGATTTGGCGTCTCGCTCGAACAATTCGGTCATACCGTACGATCGCTTCCGCCAAAACCCTAAACCCTCGCCCTTTCTTTTCACCGTCTCCTCGCCTCCCACTCTCACTACCTATCTGTAACCGTACGTTTAATTCTTAATTTAATCTTGCGCATTGTTGTTTATTCAGTCGGTGATTATCCCCACTGTGTGTAATTTCTGTGTTTCATAGACTTTTTAGTAAAATTGCCTAAAGTTATGCACAGACTTTCATTTTGTTTACTGTAAGATTTTCGTTATTGTACTGGAAAGATTGAATTTCAACTTCAAATTATGCGCAAATAAGATTCATTGGAAATTTTGGACTAGTGTAGGTTTTTTCGCTGGCGGATTTATCAAAATTGTTTGCGGTTTGATTTATTTTCTCCCTCTTTTGGGTAAGCTATAGCCTGTATGAGTCGAGTTGTTCTTGGGGATCTATAATGCACTCTAAACCACTGTGATCGAATTCCGGATTCTCCGTGTGAGAAATCATCAAGTATTCTACCCTCTCTTTTATTTTGACAAGTGTGACAAGTCATTTTGGATTATTTTGCAAAATTGTTGTTTGCACATATAGATGCTTTCTCTTGCTGTATTTTCCATGATTCATGCATTCACCCTCACTATTATGCTCAATAGCATTTAAAATATATGTGCAATTAGGGACTTTTGAACAGCACGAAGCATGTGGATCGAGAGGTCCACGACCAAAAGGGGTGCCTGAACTTTCTGTTCACACGCTATTAGGTGGATTGCTTGGTTTTGGACTGTTAGATGTTGCATTTGCTGATGGTGATCGGGTTAGTGTACTGCTTCTGTGTTACCCCATTCCCGTAGAAAAATAATTAAAAAAAAAACACTATCACGAACTCTGACAAAGACATTGAGGTTTTTACTCGCTCTATGGCAGCTGAATTCGTCTATCGTTTTTTTCACGAACATGACATTTGTAGGCAGATGCTGAAACTCAACTGCCACCTGAATCAGCTAAAATTGCTCCACCATCAGAATCAGCAAAAACTATTCCTCCACCAGAAACAGCTAAAACTGCTCCACTACCGGAATCTGCTAAAACTGATTCGCCGCTGGAATCGGCCGAAACTACTCCACCATCATCAGAATATGTTGAAACTGCTCCATCATCAGAACCTGTTAAAGCTGCTCTACCAGCGGAATCTCCTGTTTTGAACCATCATAACCTGGAGGAAATTGCGAGGAAAGAGAAAACTCGATTAGAAGAATTGCTCAGGCAATACGGAGGCCGATATGGTTCTTATCCTCGTTTTACTGTTTCCATTAAGGGACAAAAGGTTGGTAGGCAGCAGGTCGTAGCCTTCTCTGTCCATTTCATTCTATGTGCCTTAGGCCCTTAAGTGTTTAAATTGCTATAGAGATATCAGTGCTGTTTGATTTACGGTGGCGGTCCATTTAACGGATGCATCAATTTTTTTATCCCAAAGCATGAGTAATAGTCTCTACTCGCTGAATCCTAATTTTCTTGCCTATTTGATGCTTATTGGCAGGTGACAATCAAGTTCCAAGTTCCTCAATCCTGTGAAATTCCACTTCTAATTGCAAACCTTGTCTCGCGTCTTGGAGTCAAGCCTGACAACAATGGTGTTGGTTCAGATATGACATTGCGTGCTTGGGACAGGTTATCGAATCTTGCTTTCTGCAGCTCTCATCTTGTTTTTCTTCGAGTTCACTGAAATCGTCTTTCCTTTGTATAGATCATTCTTGAATCTATCCTTTTATATGGCCCTTTTTCTTTTTTACTTGTCAATAAATAGTATGAACTCTTTGACCAGTGGGGTTGCATGGCAACTAGCACTCACTCGCCCAAAAACTCGAACCGAGGCCAGTGGTGATCAAGTTCATAAAAATGCAAATGATGGAGAGTTTTGCATCCTCATGTTTCGCCCACTCATTAGCTTCGACAAAGCTGTTAGTACTTGTAATTGAATGATATACTCAATCTAGATCTAATTATCGTTTTATACATCTATTGCTGTAGGTTTAGTAACAGTTTTCTTGCCGATGTGCAGGAAATTGAGTTCATGAAGCAGGGAAGTTTTACTTTTGAGGAGCTTGATGCTTTGGCTTCTATCTTACAATTAGCAGGACAGCCAAAACGCGTAGAAGTAAGACCAAGAGAAGATGCTGCTCGGACTTCAACAATGGACAAAACTGTTAGTAGTCTGGAGGGGATGGGTGTCAAGGTTTATGGGCTTAAACAACCCTATATAGAAAACCCGAACGTTGATATATCCTGGGATAATATTGCTGGCTATGATAATCAAAAGAGGTACTAATGAATAATGATACATGCATCCTAGCATTTCAGTGCTACAATTCATATTAGCGCTCTAATGTCTGTGATGAAGTTTAAACTACCCGTTCCAAACAAGTTTCTGCTTTCATTAAGAACGACTCTGGTTTTGAATTCAGTTTTTTTTCTTAATCATGTTTGTTTGGTTTCATCTACTTCCGAGCTTTACATGAGAAAGGTCTTAAACTATTTGCTGTTGATTTTGATTGGTTTTCAAACTTGTAGAGAGATAGAAGATACAATATTACTGGCTTTAAGGAGTCCTGAGGTGTATGATGATATTGCTCGAGGTACTCGGTGTAAGTTCGAGACAAATAGACCACGTGCGGTGCTTTTTGAAGGTCCACCAGGTATACAAACTTTACTAGATCATTTGATTGAGAAAAAAACCTTCCTCAATGTTCATTTCAAGAGACCATGCTCCCATCCCAAAATGTGTCAGTCAGAATATTTCCCCTAAAACACTCAGAATATACCACCACATAAAGCTTTAACGAAACCTCTTTATCCTATAGATTCTTCGGCATCAAATGTCGGGTAAATTTTGGGTTTTGCACTGTTAAACAGCCAATTATAGTGCTTACATATTGAATTCGGTTTCAGGTACGGGGAAAACATCATGTGCTCGTGTAATTGCTAATGAAGCGGTATATCATCTACACCTTGAAGCTTAATATTATTTCTGTGATATGTTTCATATGTTTTCTTCCTTGTCAGGGGGTCCCATTGTTGTACGTACCATTGGAGATCATCTTGTCCAAATACTATGGTGAGAGCGAGCGTTTGTTAGGGAAGGTGTTTTCCCTTGCTAATGAAATCGTTGATGGCACCATCATTTTCCTGGATGAGGTACAGTACCTGGAGGTTATGCGTGTATGAAATTTAATACTGGTCGTAAATTTTGTAACTCGTTTTGATGTGACTTAGGTTGATTCTGTTGCTACTGCTCGGGATAGTGAAACCCATGAAGCTACACGAAGACTTTTATCCGTCTTGTTACGACAGGTAATGCTGGTTTATCTGATGTCATTAAAATTTGTGATTTAAGATTTATTACATATGCAGATTGTCAATAAGATTTGTGCATATGCAGATTGATGGATTTGAGCAGGAGAAGAAAGTAGTGGTTATTGCTGCAACTAATAGAAAACAGGACCTTGATCCTGCTTTACTTAGGTGAGACCAGAATTACATCTTGTTCATTACCAAGAAGCACAACCGCTATTTACCATTTTCTAAGCTGGTGTTTATATACATTGCTCTCAGTCGATTCGATTCCATGATCACTTTTGACCTCCCTGATCATCAAACTCGTGAAGCAATTGTGGCTCAGTATGCGAAGCACTTGACAAAATCCGAAATGGCTGAACTTGCCACAGCTACTGAAGAGTGAGTATGAGAGAGAGATGTTATCAACCTTGACACTACATTTTTTTCGTTTCTGTTTTACACGGGAAAGTATCAAAAGATAAGTACGTGTTCTTATCATCCTTACGTTGGTTAATGCAGAATGTCGGGCCGTGATATAAGGGATGTCTGTCAGCAAGCCGAGAGGCATTGGGCATCAAAGGTATCGTGTATCCTATATATATATATATGTATGTATATTGTGTATTTATCAGCACTTTGAATCTGAGCAAGTAATTCATGTATGTAAACAACAGATTATTCGAGGACAGGCAGAGAAAAACGAAGAGGGAAGCTCCCTCCCTCCTCTGCATGAGTACACTGAAAGTGCTCTGAAAAGGCGAACTGCTATGCTTGGTATTGCAAATCAGATCCGGAATCCAAACTCTCTCTCAAGGAAGCCCCAGTTTGATTTTCTATGAAGCCTCTCTCTCTCTCTCTAGAATAAGATCTGTACATATATATTCATACATTCTTCTTGGGTGTTGTACATTCATGCGAAGCAATGCAAGAAATTCAGTGAAATTTTCTCATTGGAATAAGTTGGGAGAATCGGATCCGATTATTTGGATCCGGATCTTTTTCTGTTCTTGAAGTAATCATGATTGAATTCTTGTTGTGATTTTCTTATTAATTTGAAGTGCGATTGGATTGTCAATACACCATAATTGAATTACTAATAATTAGGGGTATTTAAATAGAATAAAATATAGTTTTATATGAATAAAAGATTATAAAGTATACAGCTTTTTTTTTTTTTTTTTTTTAATTTATTTAAATAAAACTATTTAATTATTTATTAAATCCAAAAAGGCTGTTCCATAATTAAAGTCCAACTCTTGATATAGGAAAAGAATAAAAACAGGGCTAAAATAAATAAAAAATACCAAAAAATTGGGATTTATATAAACCCAACCGCTAAAGCCTAGGTGACTGCAATCGACTCTTCTTCTGCTAAATTGCTCTGCTGGGGTTCCAATCCTACGCCACAAAGATGTCTTCTCGCGACAAGAAACCCTCAAAACCTTCCGGCAGCCGAGCCGGTGGAATCCGAACCCTTTCAGACCTGAACCGGCCATCGGGCCATGATTCCGACAGTGATTCCGATGGTCCCCAGGAGTACTACACCGGCGGAGAAAAAAGGTTCCTTTTTTATACTTACCACAATTTCATCGCTATAACAAAACCCTAGGCTATTCCCACGTTATGTTTGTTTCTCTAATTGAAATTCGAGCTAGTTGAGTTCTGATCTGCGGTGGATTCAAATTGATTTATATTGTATTCTTATTTTGTTTGGGTTGTGGAGTTGATCATCCGGTATTTAATTGGGGCACGGATGCCCATATTTAAGTGTTTGTGTTAGGGTTTTGTATGTTAAGTTTTGTTTGGCGATCTAAATTGGTTGCTTTAAGTTGATTTACAATTACCATCCTTTGCTGAAAATATAATTCTGGCTCAGAATATTGTGCAGGTTTATGATTGTTTCTGTGTGGTGCTGTATGATATGTTGCAGCTTAATATAGTGCAACATATCATTCCCCGAGAAAATAAAAGGGAAAACCTAAACATCTGTTTTCTGTTTGTTGCCTGCTAAAGTGGTAGAAATGACTGAATTGATTTATCGTTTTTGTGCCGGATATTGCTCGATTTTCTTATAAATATATCCTTTTATGAATTCTTAAGGAAGCACATGACTGTAGAGGGCCTACAATTATGTGAGTTACCGCTGATTTGGTTTGAAGTTGCTGATCCGGTTCATGAGTTTTACTTGTTTTACTAATTTTGCGTATATTTCATTTATTATATTTATTCTTCATTTGATAAATGCTTAGCTGATATGTATAAGGGATGAATCATTACCTGACTATTTATTAAAATACGATATTTCAGTGGTATGCTTGTCCAAGACCCATCCAAGGGCAATGATGTTGACGCAATTTTTGACCAAGCTCGACAGCAAGGTGCTGTCCAGGCCCCACTGGAAAATCTTCAGCCATCTTCAAGCTCGAGAAGCTTCGCTGGGACGGGAAGATTGCTATCAGGTGGAACTGCACCACCGCCAGCTGCTCCACAGCAGCCTGAGACAATTGTCCATAACATTATTTTCTGGAGAAATGGTTTCACTGTCGGTGATGGCCCTTTGAGGAGGTTGGATGATCCCGAAAATGCTACGTTTATTGAGGTAATGGGCGATGAAATAAACACATATTTTTTTTTGAAGTAGAACGATTATGAATCATTGTGCTGAAGCTGACTTATTTTGAAGTAGAACGATTGTTTTGCCTTTGTTTTCTCCTCTTCCTGTCGTTATTTCTATGCTATCACATTAAATATGCAGTAGGCACTATTAAAGATCTAATTTCCCGATTTGTGCTATAGAAAATGTTGGATTACTATGCTAGGATTTGATTGTGTGATGATATCTTTACGCAGAGCATCAGAAAATCAGAGTGCCCTAAAGAGCTGGAACCTGCAAACAGGAGATCGTCTGTCAATGTCAATCTCATAAGGAAGGATGAAAACTACCCTGTAAGTTGCATCGTTTATTCATGTTTATATTTCCTTGCCCGTTCCTCTCTTTTCTGAATGCATGCATTTGGTATATGTTCCATTTACGGTACAAGATTGCTTGCTTTAACAAAAGTAATTGCCTCGTTAGACTGATTATGGCACAGAAATAACTTCAAAAATGAGATTTAGTTTAATAGATTGTAAAAGGCTGAACTTAGCCTTGAGTTCGCGACCTTGTCAACTTTTTGTTTCGTCGAAGATTTCGGTCTTATTTACTGTATCTTTATGTCTAAAATGAAAAGCTTACCATTTTAAAAGCTTCTTTCTTGTGCTCTATGTGGCATAGTATTTTTAATTTAGTTAAAGTTCAATCTTGAAAAGCTGACTAGCTAGACAGACCTATTTGACACGATTTTTCCTTAATAATTTGCTGTCGCACTCCCACCTCTCCATGCCTTGGTCGTGTCTTCCCACTTCTCATTTCCCGAAATGGTTCCTTCATTATATATTCAAGCATTACTTCAACAACCTATAGAACCACAGGCTGCAACCACCAAGTATACAAGTGCACGACATTGTTTGTTTAGGTGATTTTTTTTTTGAAGGAAAATGTGAACAAAATATTTATTATTGGGTGATTTGCAGGAACCGGAAGTACCCCACGATCCATTTCAAGGAGTGGGCAGAACTCTGGGGAGTAGTTGTAGCTCTGTAACTGGACCAGGTCCCGAGACAACTGTTGGTGCTGCTCCTCCGGTACACGGTGCACCACCCCCAGCCGTGGGCCTTGTTGTGGATAGATCACAGCCGTCCACTTCGATCCAACTCAGGCTGGCTGATGGGACCCGCATGGTCTCCCACTTCAATCACCACCATACAGTTGCTGATATCCGCTCCTTCATTGATGCATCTAGGCCTGGTGGGTCCAGGTCATATCAACTCCAGACCGTTGGATTTCCTCCCAAGATTCTTGGTGATCTGACTCAGACTATCGAACAAGCAGGCTTGTTGAACTCGGTGGTCATTCAGAAACTCTAAGCAGGCGCACGATTGTTTACTCTCTCTTTTTTTTTTCTTTTTCTTTTTTTAATATCCATGGTTGACTATGACTAAACTTGTTGAATTCATACTTGTGTTTCTAGAAGGAAAAACGATATTTATTGAAGTTGAATGCATAGAAGAAGGTACTCTCAAAATGTTTTTCCCCTGTTTTGAAGTAAGGTTATTTGATATTTTCAGGAATATAGTAAGTACATTGTGCTGGTTGCTCAGGTATGTAGCCTGTGTGATGCTTCCTTTCCTTGTTGAATAGGAATGGGAAAATTTATTCGAATTTGGTTGCATTTTTATGTTAAAGCTGTAAACGCAGAGCATTGAAATTTGAAACTCAGAAGATTCCTCTATTATACCTATTATTATATATAAAATAAATACAAAATATATAGTGATAATGTAATGTACTGTCTTGGGGACAAAACAAATATTGTCGAAAATTAAAATCAAATCAAGTAATTTAATCTCATATACATATAATGAAGCAGCCCAAAAGAAATAGAAAAAATCAAAGGGTAAATTGCTGCCACCTTTTGAGGTAAAATCAAATTACGAAAATACCCATCATATTTGGGTAATTACACTTACCCTTCAACGGATTTTCTTACACGTTAAGAGTTAAAGTGTCAAATTTAAAATAATCTTGTCAAGACTTATAGTGTCAAATTCAACATAATATTCCGAATGAGGAAATGTTCTCTAGTTTGTACTCACTTTGCGCGAAAATGCAGTTTTTGATGCATCACAATTTTATATTTACAAACCAAGAGACACATCTTATGATCATCTTGTTTCAAAATGTAGAGCGGATAAAATTGGAGAATATTCAATACAATTTAGAAGATTTCACTAAATTTGACACTGCAAGAGTAAACGTGTGAGAAAATTCATAGTTGATGGATGATTGTAATTACCGAAACAAAAGGTTTTTTTTTGTAATTTGACAACACCTCAGGGGCCGTCCGTAATTTACCCAAAATCAAAAGTTAGAATTTTTAGAAATTGGAATTAAAAACAGTTGTTCGAACTGGGCCCGGTGGGGCGAAACCCCACTTTCCACATCGTACAAAGCTACCAGTCCCACCTCCCCAAAACTGTACCATACGAAACAGCAGAAAAAGGTGCGAAAAATCCCTAGGAAAAAAACCAGATTCCCCACGAAACACTGTTCATTCGGAACAAAACCTCGTCTCCATGACTGAAATACGCAAGCATACATTTACCCCAAAAATCTAGGGTTTATAACTTTTCCCCCTTTCCATCCTCGATCCACCTTGTTTTTTTTTTCTTCATACATTTCGATCGATCTATCAATAAATCCTCGTCCCGTATCTAGAAAAAATACATTTCATCGCAAGCTTTTCCAACCGCATTCGAGAAATAAATTAGGGATTTAAGAAAGTACATGACGAAGAGAAGACACTGGGACTTCGATTCTTACACCATTAGAGGCACCAACACTGTCGTCAAAGGTAACACACCACCATTACTCCGCCTGTGCTTAATTTCCTGAATGATTTGTTACAAAATGTATGTATATAGATATTTATGTGAAAGATCGAATTTTTACTGCGTTCAATTGGATCTGAAGCTGGGGATTGCGTTTTGATGCGGCCGTCGGAGAACAACACGGAGCCATACGTGGCGCTTGTGGAGAAGATTGAGGCGGAGAATCTCAGCGATGTGAATGTTAGGGTTAGATGGTATTACAGGCCGGAAGAAACCGGGGCGGGTCGAAAACAGTTCCACGGAGCGAAAGAGTTGTTCCTTTCGGACCACTACGATATTCAAAGTGCCGACACAATTGAGGGGAAATGCACCATCCACACTTTCGAGAATTATACAAAGTTGGCCAATGCTAGGCCTCAGGATTACTATTACAGATTCGAATATAAAACCGCCTCCGGAGATATCGTTCCGGATAAAGTTAGAGTGTGAGTTCTGCAATATATATATATATATACACATGATTTCACTGACATGATTGTTTGATTTCTTTCTTTTGGGTAGAGGCGGATTTTGAATATGTGTGTGTGTGTGTGTGTGTTATTGAAAGGTATTGCAAATGTGGGTTGCCCTATAATCCAGACCAGTTGATGATACAGTGCGACGAATGCAAAAACTGGTATGCCTTTTGTACCGTAAATTTCAGTTTTGACAGTGAGAGGATATACGGTTAACTTCGTTATTACCTGGGTGTTTTTGTGGGGGTTGTTTGCAGGTACCATCCTGGTTGTGTAGGCATGACAATAGAACAGGCAAAACAATTGAATCGCTTTGTTTGCTCCGATCATTCTTATGATGATGATGACGATGACGATAAGAAGAAACCTCGTAAAACCCCTCTCAAAAATCGCAAGGTACGTAAAGCTACCTCACCTGCGCATCATGTTTCATCTTTGTCCTTTTCGATTTGGTTTTATATATGTATGCATCGTGTTTATGCATGGCTATTGAACATATGAAAGATGACTACAATGAAACTTGTAGTACAAGATATCTACTTCCTTCTACTCGTTGCATTTGCAATACTGTATCTTCACCACAAGAGTAATTGTTGACATTTATGCATTTACCCCATTTCTTTGCTGCTCTAATTCTATGTGGAAGAAATATCGATTCTTATTTGTCCCTTTGTCATAGTTATCCTCGTTTTTTTTTCCGCTCAGCTGAGGTAATTTTTCTTGTCATGCAGGCAAAACCCAAACGCCGGAGGAAGTAGTACTAGTTAACCCCGATTGGTACAGTGAGGCTCGGGCCACGACAACTCGTTTAGGGTCGCACGTGCACAATTCTGAGAATTCGTTTATCTACATAGACTAATTAAGAGCTTCTTTTAACACTAGTGATATATTATCACTATTTTTTTGTCAAGGAGATGGGTCCCACTGAACTCGCTTACTTGCCCAAGAAGACACGTCATGACTTTGTATATGTTTGATTATCTCGTCTCTTACACGACTACGAAATTTACAATATTACTCTTGTAGGGATTAGACCTTCATCAATTATTAAGTATTGGTTTGCTCTTAAACCTTCATTGTGTTGTTGCGATTTATACAACTAACTAAAACTAGATTTTCTACTGATTCAATCAAGTTCACTGTTTAGTTTTCTTGAAACAATTGGCCATTAAATCTTTAATACGTTACGGTCGATCATATAATTAATAATACATTAGAGGTTATTTACCAGAAATACCGAGGAAAATACAGTAAACACGAGCCGGGGTGGGGTGTGGGGGTGGGGGGTGTACAGGTAGAAGCATGGAGTTTCTGCTAGTAAGTTGTTTTGGCGTGAGCAAAGACACCTAATTAGGGATTTGAACAAAAAAAACAAGATTCAAAAAGCAACTGTTTTTGCACAAATTCTTGCTTTACTCACATTAATAACGTGGTTAACCAATTAATTACTTTTTCAATGGTTGCTGTCAAGCATTTATTGAGCACCAAAAACAATATATAAACCAAAAGCCAAACAGCTTATATATATATATATGTATATATATATATATATATGCATCATCTCTTCCGAAAATTCATGTTAAGGCATCAAACCATGGTTAGATTACTTCTGCTTCTCTTAAGTATTATTAGTGTGATTTCTTGCGTCGCTGAAAAACGAGACATCTATTTAGTTTTACTCGAAGGCGAGCCAGTCGCATTCCATCACGGAGCGGCGCCCGGAAAAGATGGCAAAAAACCTTTCCTCCACAGGTAACATGAGAATCAAGATTTTAAATTTATGGGGAATTTTTTTTAAGAGAACAAAAAAATCACTTAATTAGTTCAATGTCAAACCCTAGAAAAGTTTCGATTTTTTTTTCTCACTCGTTTATAGTAATTATCGAGCTGATCGGTTTTGTACGTCACACTCGCAGTGAAGCTTCCGTCGCTCATGCAAAGCACTTGGTTGACTCCCACGACCGATTTCTCCAAAGCAAACTAGATGCAGGCAGCTATAACAAGCTTTACAGCTTCAAAAACATCGTCAATGGCTTCGCCGTACATACTACCCGTTCCCAGGTTACTACACTAATAATAATAAATAAATAAAATAAAAAACAAAAGAAAGAAAGAAAAATCGTGGTTTGTCGAAAAAAATAAAGTAACAATATTTTGATATTTCTAAGGTGGAAAAACTCAAAGGTGGTCACGGTGTGAAACTGGTGGAGAAAGATACGGGGGCTAAACTAATGACGACTCATTCGCCGGAGTTCTTGGGTATGCCGGCGGTGTGGACACAGCAAGGTGGGGACCGAAACGCCGGAGAAGGGATTGTGATCGGTTTTGTGGATTCGGGCATCAACCCGGTTCACCCAAGCTTTGCTTATGACCCCATGCATCCACCGTTGATTTCAAATTACACCACTTCTCACTTTTCTGGATCTTGTGAGGTGGGCCCACTCTTTCCTCAGACTTCTTGCAATGGCAAGATTATTTCTGCTAGGTTTTTCGCCGCCGGCGCACGTGCTGCCGCCACCCTGGACCCTTCTGTTGATATTATGTCACCTTATGACGTAGTTGGACACGGCAGGTATGTATGTATATATATAGATACAGATTATATATATATTTGCATGCCTTGTTTTAATTTGTTTGTATTCAGTCACGTGGCTTCGACTGCTGCTGGAAATTTCGGAGTTCCAGTTGTTGTTGATGGCTTCTTCTATGGTCGAGCCAGTGGGATGGCGCCACGTGCCAGGTTCTATAATATTCACAATTTTGGGAAAATCAAAAAAAAATAGTATGTTGTTTTTAATTTACACGTGTTAACTTTTTAAATTATTATTATTCAATAGGATTGCAGTGTACAAAGCAATTTATCCTACGGTAGGAACTTTAACAGATGTACTCGCAGCCATTGATCAAGTAAGCATACATAATTAATTAATTAAATAACTCAAAAACCACTAATTAATTAATTATTTAATTAATTAATCCAGTCTCGTGTTGCAGGCCGTATTAGACGGAGTGGACATCTTAACGCTGTCAATAGGACCAGATTCGCCGCCGCAAGACACCGTCACATTCTTAGGCGCCTTCGAAATATTCATGCTGTCCGCACACAAGGCCGGAATATTCGTCGCCCAGGCCGCCGGCAACCAGGGCCCAGGCCCTTACACCGTCGTTTCCTACAGCCCATGGTCCGTCGGAGTTGCCGCCTCCGGCACCGACAGAACCTACCCCGGCTCTCTCCTCCTCGGCGACGGCCAGAAAATCGGCGGCGTTGGATTATCGGGTCCCAGTTTCGGAAACGGGCTGCTCCAGTACAAATTGGTTTCCGCCAGAGACGCCGTCAAGGTTAACGGCGCATTTCCCAGGACCCCACCGTACGTGGAAGAGTGTCAGTACCCGGAGGCGCTGGACCCCACTGTGGTCCAAGGCAGTGTAGTCATCTGCACCTTCTCCTCTGGGTTCTATAACGGGACGTCAAATCTAACGGCCGTTATACAGACGGCGAGGGTTCTTGGATTTACGGGATTCGTGCTCGCTGCTAATCCTGATTATGGAGACTTTATTGCTGAACCTATTCCTTTCTCTATTCCTGGCATTATGATCCCAAGAACTACCGATGCACAGGTAATATCATATATATATATATGATTTTGTTTATAAATAATATATATTACTCCATTTGTTCCATTATAACTGTTTTTTTTTTTCAAAAATATTTTTGTTCCATATTATCGGTCACTTTATATTTCTAATACTGCATTAAATGCAATTTTTTTCCTATTTTAACTTTATTAATTCAACTATAAGTATTAACTCTCTCTTATCACATCATTAAATAATTAAGGTTATTTGAGTATTTCTAATATATTTTACCTAAAATCAAGACACATTTATTGAGCTTATTCATCCTTGTGCAAAGCCAAAAACAACACTTAATAAGGAACGAAGGGATTATAAATTAGGATATTATTGAAAATATTGAAAATTCACATAAACTACTAACTAAATAATTAATTAATTATTTAACAGGGAATTAATCAAATTAAAGTTCCGATATAGGTAAGCAAACAAGGACTAACAGGATAAAAATTAGGAATCACGGCCCGATTGTTGTGTTTGTTTGCAGATAATATCTAGATACTACGAGCAGCAGACGTATCGAAACGACAAAGGGTTGGTAATAAGATATAGTGGAAGGGCAGCCATAGGCGAAGGTAGAGTAGCTTCTTACATGGACGAGAGGGCGCCTGTTGTAAGCCGATTCTCTTCGCGGGGCCCGGATTATATAGACGAGAGGCGGAATCCAGCTGATCTGCTTAAGCCCGATATACTAGCACCGGGCCATCAAATATGGGCTGCTTGGAGCCCCATGAGTGTTCAAAACCCCATTCTCTGTGGTACTTACAAAACTTGCTTTAATTTTGGCTTTTTCGATTAAATCGACAATTAATTAGCAGCTTAATTATGTTTTGATTGGTTGTTTGGTTACATGATTTAGGTTATAATTTTGCATTAATATCGGGGACGAGTATGGCGACGCCTCACATTGCAGGCATAGCTGCATTAATCAAGCAGAACAATCCTACGTGGACTCCGTCGATGATTGCTTCTGCCATGTCGACCACGGCAACCAAGCACGATAATCGGGGTGAACCTATCATGGCTGAAGGGTACGCCGCTTATACGTTGCATACTGCCGCCCCGTTTGGTTATGGGGCTGGCTTTGTGGATCCCGTTCGTGCGTTGGACCCTGGTCTCGTATTTTCAACAGGTAATATTTCAATACTATAGCAGATCAAGATGAAGTACATCAAATAAATACCTATAAGTATATCTTCAAAAATTAGCTCTTTCGGAAAAATTCAATTTTTTTTTGTGAAAATGAAAAACTAATTCCGATTCCTTGCCAAAAAAAAAAAAGAAGAAAGAAACTCAGAAAATTCGGACTTATTCCAAAATCGAAAAAATATCGAATCAGAATTCAGAAATTCTAATTATGTAGTCAACTAAAATAAAAGTTACATAATAATATTGATATTATAAGTGTTATTTTCAGGGAAAAAAATAAATAAATAAAAAGTCGAAATAAATTATCAGAAATGTTTTAGGAAATGAAAATCGAAAAACGGAATTTAATATGTATTCCGATTCCATTCCTAAAAAAATTGGAATAATCGAAAATCGGAACTTTCAAAATTCGGAATGAAAAATGTCATACTGAAACAGAAATTTTTTGGATCAGAATCGGCAAAATTCGAAATTTCGTTCCAATTTCCACCTCTAATTTCACACGTGGTGCAACATCTGATTTCAGTTATTTGATCTAACTTACTTGGAGCAGGGTACGAAGATTACCTTAGTTTCTTATGCTCGCTCCCAAACACCGATCCGGAGAAAATCAGAGTAGCCACCGGAGGAACATGCGCCGCCACTTTTAGCAACCCTTCCGACCTGAACCAACCGTCTGTGACGATAACTGCGCTATCCGGCATGCGGGTGACGCAGAGAGTGGTCGAGAATGTGGCGAACAAACCAGAGACTTACCTGTGCGCCGTGCTCCCACCGAACGGAGTCACAGTCAGCGTTGACCCACCGTGGTTCACTCTAGCACCTCAAGAAAAACAGACACTGGTAATAAGACTTGTTGTGACACAAGTGCTGGAGGATTTCAGCTTTGGGGAAATTGTTCTTACAGGTAGTTTGAATCACATTGTTAGAATTCCCTTATCAGTTCTTACCATTTCTCTTTAAGTTTACAATTTACAATTTCGATTTCAAATATATATAATTTTTGGGTTTATTGCATTTTGGGGCATGTGTTATATACTGAATTGCTAAAAAAACTCCCTGTATTATTAAATATTAACAAAATTCTCCCTATGATTTAATTTTATTAGCAATCTACCCCCAAAACCGCACCGTTTTGGGGACTTTGCGCTAAAAAAAATGCATCATAGGGAGATTTTGAAAATAAGTAAATAGATTATTTATATAACTGGATCAATTAACTCAATATGAATGAAACACTACAGATTTACAAAAACCCCGAAATTTGCTGATATTACACAGCAAAAATAAAATTAAAAAATAAAATAAATTATTCGTTATAGCACATACAATCACGACATCGTGGATATCTATACACACTTCTTCCGATGGGTCGAGAAAATACCCGTTTATTCTGTCTCACAGCCTTCCTCACTCTCGTCTCGAAAACCTTCCACTCTATTGTGTTGTTTCTCTCAAAAATGTCGGCTAGGCGCCGTTTGTTTGGCCGTATTGTAGCCATTTTACCACCACCGTAATATATTCTGTAACCAGCTACTAAAGAAGAAAATTGACTCCCGGAATCTGTCATGGCAAACACATCCGCAGCTGTGCATACTATGAAATCGAGAGCTGCCAGCTGTCAAAAAAAAAGAGTTTCGCCGATTATTGCATGTAAAATGCAAATTTGATTTATAAGAAATTTAGTAAAGAGCAAAATTCACCTGAGACGAAGAATTTGAAAATGGCAAGATTTCGGTTGACGATAACAAATTTTCTTTGGTGACTAAATTAGGGAACAAGGTAGTCAATGCAGCGAGTCTTGAACTCCCTCCGTAAATATGTGCACCGGCTAAATATATGTGGGTCCGCCTATTGAAACCAAGGGCAGCAAGCATAAGCACTGTCTCCTCTGGCATCAATGGACATAGTCCTTCGGATCTTAATTCTTTCGGCGACGGAAACCTTAAAAAAATTCATTTAATAAAAACAAAATTAGAGATACATGAAAAAAAAAACACCCATGTTATTTTATTAGCAAAAAAAACCCAATTGAATTTTTTTAGCAAACTACCCCCTAAAAACACACTTTTTAGGGGGCTGTGTGCTAATTTATTTAACACAGGGGTACTAAATGCAATTAACTCTAAATATCTATACGTGCGAAAACCAAGACATACATATATATACACACAGAAGATACGTACTTTTTCGTCTTCTTTAATTCGACCAATGCAGGGAAATGGACTTCTCGATAAGCCTCCAATTCGCGCATTTCCTCTTCACCTCCACCGAATTCACACAAAGAATGAGCCACCATGTCGATTTCAAATCTCAGATGCAAGGCTAAGTATCTTGACTTTTTAGCTGAACGGGTTTTTTGGCCCTTATTCGTCGATTGTGCAAACGGGCCCACAAGATAATGGTCCAAATGCCCCAAGCCTTTATCATTTTGACGCATTCTATTGATAAGCAAAGCACCGGCTTCTTGTATTTTGGGGATAAATCTTAGGGCGTGGAAATTGCATCTGCATCGAAGTCTCTAGATGAAATTCTTTAATTAGGAGGCAAAAGTGGATTAGAAAAAAAAAATTAAATAAAAGCAAAAAATAAAAAATAAAAAATGGAGCATCGATCGATATTCAATAGTGGAATGGTACCTGCAACTCGTGTGGTATTGGATCGGATGCTAATCTGTTCCCAAATCCGACGAAATGAACGACTCTGTTGAGGTGTAAAATGGGAAGAATGTATTTTAAGTAAAAACTTGGCTTCGCCTCTTTTACGATATCTGTGTCTGTGACCTGACAAAAGTTTTTAGATAATATCACAGCAATTAGAGAAATGTCGTAGAGCAGATTCTTTGTTGGATTTTAGAATTAATATGAAACTCACCACACTGCCAATCGCCTCTAAATCAAGCGACTGTAATTCCTTTGGGAGTTCTTCAATAATTGGGATATCGGGCTTTAAATAGTCAATGAAATGCTGGTCCTGATAAATATCGCCGAACTGACTAAGAGGATATAAAATTTTGCATGTAAGAAGATTTTGTTCATGTCGACACAGAGAAAATAATACGAGATAATACGACAGGCTTTAAGAAAGTTGAAACATAAAATCGAAGTAATTAAAAGGTATTTCACCTAGAATCTTGCCAGACACTGCTGTACATAAATTTGGGAAGCACTAGAGTTGCGTTGAGTAATCTCACTATAGCAACTGCATTGCAGACCTGTTGGCAAAACAAATATGTTTCTCATTGTCGTAATAAATAATAGCAAACAAGAAATATACGAATCGAGATATGAAAAATTTGATTTTCACCGCGAAATTAAAGACAAGACAGTAACCAACTTACAGCAACTCGCTGCTGATTAATTCCACCGTTTGCGGTAACCATGACATAACCATTCTTGCCCTCTGAAATCGGTAAAGACAGCATTAGTCTTCATAACAACATTTTAGCACATTCAGACATGTAAAGATAAACACACGCAAACACAGATATAAACAACACACACACACACACACAGACACACACACACACACGCACCGCTCGGTTTCCAGTTGTGTGTATGAGAACAAGGGGTCCATGAAGAAGCACGGACATAGGGTTCCGCCCACAAGTCCTTAGGCTCAGCCTTGCTTTCTCCCTGAATTGCAAAAGTATCAATATAAGAAAGGCAAATTCCAAGAAAATCGCTAATTTCATAATATCCAATTATATCCGAGTTAACAACGATTACAATTTAAACGAACGCACACCTCAGCCAATGCATGAGCAGCCTTGGACAAAAGCCTCGCGTACGTAGTTTTTTGCGGTTTATTCCCTCTACCAATTTTATGTAGTTCTTCCTGCATCCATATCAACAACTTCTTTATGTCAACAACAAGCAAAACATTTTCCTTACAACTGATTACGGCTGATGTTTTTTTCATATCCAATTGCAATGCATATCGCCTACATTAACTATGAATTACGTACGGACTTCAATCAAGTCGAAATTTGAAAACTGTTAGAATCCAACTATCGATCGCCCGAGGTAATATATAGTAATTCTTGATTATCACCTCACATTATTACGTTTTTCATGCAGAAAATCTCACTCAGCTCCTCTGAAAAGTACCAACTCTAAAATTTTACATTTTTCCCCCTAAATGCATCTGCATTTCCACCTTACAAAACCAATTCAATAAACCACAAGAATTTACAACAAGGGGTTCGAAAGAAAATACGAAAGCGTACCCGGATGAATACAGTGGTGGAGTTTGATTTCAAGTACTGAACCGTGACATCGCCACGTGTCCGGCCCCGTTCCTGGATCCGAGAAAGCATCCACCAGTTCATCAACAAGAAGAAACCCACGAACACCGCCAATCCCACGGTCATATTCTGCCTATACCACGTGTTTTTCTTGTGCTTCTTCGCTTTTTTGGGTTCATACGCGCCGCTCAGGTAGCCGTTCGTGGAAGACGACGGAGAGAGGGAGAGAAGGGACAATTGAGAAGGCGTCGGCGACCCCAACGAACCCCTGGGCGAAGAAAAGCTCATCCGGGTCGAGCTGATTGAGTTTCGGGCTGGAATCCGTGACCCGAGCTCCTTTACTTGATCGCCGTCGTCGTCGTCGGTGGTGGGTGTATTGCCGCCACCAATTGTGGGCATTTGGGACAAATTTGAATACGGCATGTTTTTTGCTTGTGTTGTTAATTTGAGGTGGGTAATCAGAAGCTGGGATTTTGAAGGAATTTAAGGATGGTTTATGCGACAAACGAGCGGAAGCAGCGGGAGGAAGACGAATGTGAGATGTAAGGAAGAAATGTTTTGACTTGTTTCTTTGGATTTGGAATTTGGAATTTCTCATTTTCTCTGTGTTTGAGGTTTAAATTTGGTTTGCTTTTTGGGGCTGATTTCCCCAATTCCTATTTTTTAGGGGTTTTTTTCAATTTCTTTTTTGTGCTTTTAATTTCCAATATTTAATGTTCTTTTTTTTTTTTTTTTTGATTAGTTAATGTATAAAAAGCATTATATTGTACATACATTAAGATGACATTAAAATATTTTAAACATTATACATATGATTAATATTAGATGAAAGGATGTTAATATAGAAAAATTATAGAAAAATATCTTACATCAATCACCAATAAAAGGATGTTAATATAGAAAAATTATAAATTGCTGAAGGTAGATGTAATTACAAAAATACAAGAGGTGTTTTTTGTAAATAGATCTTACTCCGAAAAGAAAATGGCAAGCAAAGCACCATCCGACACAAAGCATGCGCCGACCACGTGAGACAGCCTGGTCCGATTCACCAAAGTCGTTTTTTATGAACAACCACGCTTTCAGTTCCACGTGAGAATAGGTACACACGATTGATCATGCAATTCAGCACTTATTAGTTATTACTGCTATATCCTATTTAACTAACACTGGATTCAGCACCAACTCCTTTACCCTTTATATATTAGTGCATGGAAATTTGCTTGAAAAATTGCAAGGGATCCAACCAACCATGCAAGATCCAATCAATTAATTATGGCATTACCTCTAATTATCATCTCAATATATATATATATATATATATATATATATATATATATATATATATATATATATTCAACAAAGCACACTATCTCTCTCTCTAATTGGGCCTACTCAATAATTATGGCCGGTGCAAAAAAAAAAAAAAAAGGGTTTGTTAATTATATGTGATTTTTAGCCAACAATTATACTGAAAATAAATTTCAATAATGTACCTTTTTATGAGCGTAATATACATAATATACAACAATTATTTTGTGATCATATACACATGTGTATGCATGGGCTAGGTCTCGGTTTCGGTTTCGGTTTCGGTTTCGGTGTTGACAGTGCTGGTTTCTGTCACATAGTCCCTCATCACTTTTGTGTTACGCTCTTCCACCATCTGCTAATTAACACACATATCATTAATAAATCATCAAAGAAATATATATATATATAAAAGAAGAAAATGAAATGGCAGTTGACGGAGGAAGACCTTGATTGACAATCGTTTCAAGTTGTCCCATTCAAAGTCATTCTTGCAATATGCAGACCGAACCTTATAATTAATTATAAATTACCACAAAACTCAATTAACTTAGAACATAATAAATTATTATTGAGTGAAAAAGAAAAGAAAAGAAAACGTCACTAATTAATTAATTAATTACCTCCAATATGCGCAGAGCTGTGGAAATTGCAAAAGAGATCAAAAAAACACAGTATAATCAATAAATAAATATTAAATAATCTTGTGCGCTATATATCATATATTAAGTAGTAATTAATTATAATATAATATAATAAAAGACAATGACCTAAAGTTTTGTGGGTGGAAGATTGACGAAGCAAATCAGCAACAAAATTATCACCGCCGTCACTCAGCGAGTGTGTCTCCAGGAACTCCACCATCTCCGCATATGCCTCTTCGTTGTAGCTCTGTGCTGACGTCATCATCCACCCCCATTATTCTATTCTATTCTATTATTTTATATTATATAAAACACAGTCACACACACACACGGATAAATAATAAATTAATTAATTAAATTACCTCAAGCTGGGAATGGACGATTCTAACAGCAACGTATGTGAAGAAGTCGTGCAAGTGTTTTGCCGCTTTTGCTTCTGGTGACGCTTCTCCGAAACCTCCAATACGTACAACATATATCATTAATTATTAATTAACTTCTAATATATATATATATAATGCAAAATTAAATAAAAATAGATATACTGACCAGGCACATACATCTTGTGGCATTGAAGAGTTGTTGTGGAGGGAGAAGTTCTTTGTTTCAACAATGGCCTGTAATTATGCACCTTTTTTGGCGCTAAAATATTGGATAATTGACAAAATGAGACAAGGCTTGAGGATTCCATGATATATGGATAATTATTATTATTATATCTGATTTTTCTTTTTTTAATAGAAAATCTTATTGTGAAGGGGTTAGCTAATTGCTAAAGCTATAAGAAGCTGCTTCGAAGAATTTAGCAGAGAACGAACAACATAAATATCTTTAGCCCCCCCTTCTCAAAATATCTTACTCTTATAAGCTAAGCTAAATTAATTACTATAAACTAAATTTATTTATATATGTTAGGTATCTTTGATTATTATTATTTTTATTTTTTATTTAATTTATTATTATTATTATTATTAGGCATCCATGTTAGTGAGGCAACACATTAAATGTGCCAAACCTTATCTGTAAGTGAGCCCTAGAACTATTTTGTGTGGTTTATATTTACACCAAAAGATATATTATATATATCCATCTGTTCATATATAATAATGCCGTTGCAATTTTTTATTTTTTTTTATTTTTTATAATTTATTATTTACAATAGAAAGTTTGAACTAGGGGTCAAGACATGCAAACGTCACACTTCTGATTATCAATAATCAACTAGTACTTAATTTAAAATAATATTTTTCTCCTATAAAATAATAACTCAGCAGTCAGCATATTTGACTTGTACTATTAAATATTAAATACATTTAAATTATTAATTCTGCCATTTTATGATATAATAATATTTTAGTGTGAAATGTATTTGGTAGATATCCAAAGCCATTAATGTAGGCTACAGGCCCAATGTGCCAACACTTGAAATTTTGTTTGGACACCAGGTTTAGGATTTTAGCCCATGTTCATCTTTCAATTATGATGAAACCAATGGGGCCCTCGCACTACACTTGTATATCTTTATTTAATTTATTTTTTAGTGTAGTTGTTAATATTTTTCCTTCAATTTAATAATCAATGGTTAATTATTACCACCATGATTATAAATTTTTATTTCAAGGGAAAAAAAAAGGAGTTACTTTCACGTTTAATTTGTCTGAATTGGTCTTCCCTGCATGCATAGGGCATTGTAAGTTGTCTTCATCCAACAACAATGAAAAGTACAAACTGATTTTTCTTGACTTGGTAATATTCTAGTTCTACTACAATATATGTACAGCTATTTAGCTTATTTTATATTCATAAAATATTAATTCATTTGCATTTTTACAACAAAACGAGGAAACGGATGAAACAAGCCCACAAAAATATTGTCACACCCGATTTTATAGATATTACACTTGGTGAAAATACATCTAGTGATTTTAAACTATAGATGATCTTCACATGATAACACACATATTTATGCGTAAATCGTCATAGACCATCAATTTTTTGGATATGTAGGATCTCATAGACCGTAATTCTAATGTAAATGTGCATATCCAAATCGTGGGTCAATAAATTGAACATTATAGTATTTGATTTGGGCACAACAAAGTATAAACACGGTTTGGCAGTCGGCCAAAAGGCATAGATCGGCATTAAATATATTAATTAAACAGCCACCATAGCCAAAAATAAGCATACTTTAGTAGCCATTTTCAAACTCTTACAAATTGCAAAGAGGTGATTCCATTAAGTAGGCAGAAATCGAATATAATGTGGAAAATTCAACCACTTCGATTTCCTTTGTTCTTACAAATGATTGACATTATGTGATTTTATTTATTTATTTTCCTGATATTTTTTGTAATAGTATGGGCCCACGCCCAAAGACCCATATCGATCAGCCCAATAGATGCACAGAAACCAAGCCGAAATCGACTAAAGATAACAATATAAGCCCAAGTTAACTAAGGCCCAAACTTGTCATCTAAACATTTAGGACCAAGTCGGTCCGTCCAAATTCATGAAAATATACATCTCCATATAAAGAGTTGAAAACCGAACAGTCTCTTGAATTATCGTGAAGTGGAATCGTATCACATGAGATGACATTAAAACAATTTTTTCCCTTGGGAAAATCAATTTTATTCCAAAAGTACTAATTCTGTCCATACATAAAACCACAAGATAATCAAATAGTGGTGGTTGAGTAATGAATACACGATCATCGTAACAGCCACGCGCCATCCCAGCGGGTGAGTCAGTCATTGCACTCGAATAAACCCAAAATCCGGCCAGCAAAGAGAAAAGTAGCCGTTGAACAAATTACAGCACCACGTGGGGCCATGCCGACAATTCACCGATCAAGTAGTCCCAAGCGTGTTTAACAGACCATCCCATCCCCATTGTTGTTAATTAATAAAAAAAAAGAATCACTACTATGCATAATTAATTGCAGAATTAATCACACTTTCTTCCTTTTTCAAATATTCATTATTCCACAAAATTCAATTTCCGAAACCGAAAAAACGTAATTCAATAAATAAACTTAGTGCAGAACAGCACAAGATTTAAAAGGCTTCCCACAATTAATTAAAATTAAATCTCACTGTTACTGATATTTCCTTTTATACATAAAAAAATAAAATAAAACAAAACATATTTTCACCCCCAAACGGACAAGCACACCTCCCACACCTTTATATGCATTCCCCACCCCCACTCTTCTCTCTCTCTCTCTACATCTCTTTCTCTCTCTCATCCCCTTTATTTTGCTGTAATTCTGTAGGTGTAAGTATCGTGTATGTATAGGTGGGTGGCTTGTGGTTGAGTTTTATCTATGTGAAGGGATTTTGTGAGGAATGTTCTTTGGCTTGTGCTCAACTCCGAAGCAATTCTATTCACTACCCGATCTGCAACTCTCAACCTTCTTCTTCTTCTTCTTCTTCTTCTTCTGTGCGATAACTCCGAGTTAATTTTTGGCTTCTTCTTTACCGTTTTTGGTGTCTGCACTACTGCTGCCATTATTAATTACCGCGACGGTACGAATCTTCTTCGTTTTTTTGAAGTGATTTTTCTAGTTGATTATGTGTTTGTAGTTATTTTATTCTCCTGGAATTTATTTACTGTACAATTGCGATGAAAATTGTCCGGCGGTTGCACTTTGTGATTTTGTGAGGTTTAGGAGATATTTATCTTTTCCGGTGCTCAATTACTTCGGTCCTTGTTCTACTATCTCTCTGTTATGTGGATGTTTTATAACTTATTTCTGATCTACAGGATTCTCAATATTACTGAAGAGATTACACAATATAATTACGTCGTGCTTGTTTAGAACATTAAATTTTCATCAGTTGGACCTTAATTGTTGTTTTCAGTGTGGTGATTTATTCTATAAGATAATTGGCTGTGGACATGCTCTATTGTTGTAATTAGTATAACGGGCTGAAGTTTATTACTATGAAGGGGTGATTGATTTTCCTTGATTTTAAATTTTCCTCGAAGAAATAATTCCTGGCATCTAAGGGAATGTAATTGATTCTATTACTGATTTGTTTTTGGTAATTTTGTTTCCATGCTTCTGTGTTCGTGATATTATATTTACTGAATTTTAAAGTCACGTTTTATGGTATTGAACATGTACTTCGTTTGTTGCGTATGAGCTTTAAAACTTCATCGTTCTTGCAGGAAGTCTAGTTATTTCGTGTAGAGGCACGATATGGCGGACTTTAGGGATATAGGGCTTGCGGCAGGAGTAAATATCCTCAGTGCATTGATTTTCCTTATAGCATTTGCCATCCTAAGGCTTCAGCCATTTAATGATAGAGTATATTTCCCAAAATGGTACCTCAAGGGTTTGAGAACTAGTCCAACACAATCGGGTGCCTTTGCAAACAAATTTGTCAATTTGGACTGGAGATCCTATATTAGATTTCTAACTTGGGTGCCAGAGGCACTGAAAATGCCAGAGCAAGAGCTCATCGACCATGCAGGGCTGGATTCAGCAGTCTATTTGAGAATCTACTTGCTGGGGTAGGCTTCCGTATCTGATCTTTTCTTAACTCGGTGCTATTTTTTTAGCATATAATGAACACAAGTACCAAAGAATGGAATTCATGACATAAAAATGATTTCAGTGATCAGAACTTCTAGATTCCATAGATATGATTGTTTTCACTACTAAGTACATGTGCCTCTGTTTCAGTGTTTTCATGAGACACTGAAATGCAGTTCTTCTTTGTGTACTAACTCTTGATTTTGGCTATACAGACTCAAGATTTTTGTTCCAGTGACATTGCTTGCATGGGCTATCCTAGTGCCTGTCAACTGGACGAACAACACTCTTGCACAATCAGCTGATAAGCTTGAATTCAGTAATATTGACAAACTTTCTATTTCAAACATTCCACTTGCATCACAAAGGTGAGGAGCTTTTTACTTCCACATTGGATTTCTAATTTTTTATATATTAAGTTTTAGTAGATATGTCTATTGCAAGTATATAGGCTATTGTCATATCGGCCTTTTCTCCCTCTTTGTTTGTTCTCTCTACAATAGCATTGACGTTGAGATGGTTGAAGGCTCTAACGATTTTTTGGATGAAAAATGTTGTGGTGGTAGCATATTCGGGTTTAAGCGGATATCCAAGAAAGCATTATTTCCTGCTAATGTCTGATTTCATCTTATTGATGATTTGGGGGTCATCTTGCACTGTGATTTGCAATTCTGAGGCATATAGGTTACAATGATGGAGTATGGAAGTTGGGACTCCGCTGCAGTCCATTTTAATCTGTTGATCTATAAGGAAGTAAAATTAGGGAAACAAACTCTGGATCCAGAAAAGAAAAACCGAAGGAGTTTGGATCCTTTACATGTACACATGAAAAATGTTTCCCTGGATACTCAGACCTCTAGTTTTTTTTTGATTTTTCTTTTTGATTAGAAAGGGATTGATAATGAAACTGTCCATTTATATTGTCATGTTTAATGATTGAAAGACATTTTAGCTTAATATGCGCAGCTGCTCGAAATGGGACTGATTCTTTATTTGTGACAGGTTTTGGACTCATGTAGTAATGGCCTATGCCTTTGCTGTTTGGACATGCTATACCTTGAAGAAGGAGTATGAAACAGTTGCTACAATGCGCTTACACTTTCTTGCTTCAGAAAAACGTCGTCCTGATCAGTTTACGGTAAGAAGCTTTATCTTGTTGACTCTTACAATCGGAAGTGGGAAGTTTCTATAAAGGGTACAGACATTGTTTTACACCTGAAAATGATGAATTTTCTTATACCTGTTTCGTGCTCTCGGTGAATACCAAACTGCATTACTGACAGGTGAAATTTATAATGCATTTGGTGTGCCTGTATCTTATGATAAGTACATGGTATCTACATTACAAAGACAGTGTATATTTTTAGTAAACTGAAATTCATAAATACTAACAGAACAAACTAGTTCATAAAACATGCTACATGAACTATATTCTTTTTAACCCATGTTAGTCATAATCCTTCACTTCTATTTCCTGGTCATTTTCCTTTCTCTCTTAAATGGCACTTCTAGAGCTGAGTTTCTTACGGCAGAGTGTTTCTTTTGTTGAGGAATAATCGGGCAGACATGATGAGTTGTAGAGCATGGACAATGGAGTCAACTTGTTTTCCAGATGAGCAAATCACTGTATAGCAGCCTTTTGTACCTATTAATGTCTCTATCGCTGATCAACATTTTAGAAGGCATTATTAGTATGAGGAATTATTTTGCATTAGCTTATCACATTGTAAAGCTTTTTCTGATGTGATTTCAGCGTGCTATATCTTATGCCCGAGTGTTGGCATAAAATAAATGGAAGATGTTTGTGGTACTATAAGAATTTATTTCAATCTGTTAGTCTTAGTTTACTACGTACATCTTGTTTCCTTTCTCTTGTAGTGTCCAGGAGTGCTCAAGCATTGCTTTTATTGTTTTTGCAGGTTCTTGTTAGAAATGTGCCACCAGATACAGATGAATCGGTGTCTGAATGTGTGGAACATTTTTTCTTGGTCAATCATCCGGATCACTATCTAACTCATCAGGTTTGTGATGCTAAATTTCCTATAAAATGTGGCTTTTGTATGTAGATATCTTTTGGAACAGTAGGATTTCTGTTGCAGTATTTTATTACCAAAAATTACTTTCTTTCTATTCTGGGGAGAATTATTTGCTTTGTAGTGGAAAATCGATCTTTTTCAATATTCTTTTGGTCTTCTTTTTATCTCTGGTTTGTCTATTATTCATATTCACTCTCCCAAAAAAGACTTCAGTTTTTTTTTCTTTGTATCTGGCGTTGGTATTATGTTTCTTGTGAACATGACCTAATGTAATTGCGTGGCTTCGTTTGCCAGTGTCCGTTTTTTTTTTGTACATCCTGCCTGTGTATAGTTCCCATGAGGTAGGGATGGCAATTTGACCCGCCCCGACGGATCCCCGCCCCGGCCCGCCCCGAAATTTTCGGGTATTACCCGCCCCGAAAAAAAATGGGGCGGGTATGGGGATTGAAATTTTTTTTTGACCGGGTACGGGTACGGGGATGGGTTTGCCTATACCCGCCCCGTACCCGTCCCCGTACCCGCCCCGCATTATTTATATATATAATATATATTTTTTTAATTATTATATTAAATATAAATAATTAAATAGTAGGAATATATTAAATATTAGTTAAAATGGGGATTTTTAGGTTTCCATTATATAATTAAATATTAGTATTATAATTAAATATTGATTTATTTGTTGAAATAAATCATTAAATTGCATATTTATTTAGTAAAAAAAAAAAGGAAAATAAAATAGACGGGGATTTTTACCCGCCCCGATACCCGTGGGGATTTTATGGGGCGGGTATGGGGATTCTTTTAATACCCGTGGGGATTTTTTACGGGGATGGGGATGGGGATTTTCATAGCGGGGCGGGGATGGGGATTGCAAAACCCGCCCCATACCCGCCCCATTGCCATCGCATGAGGTCTCACATCTGTATAGCTGCTTCTTAATATAATTAGAGACTATAGGCTACTTCAGAAACATACATGTCAATGTGACTATGCAGCATGCGTCTTTCTTATATCAGAAGCTATGTGCAGGTTGTGATCAATGCCAATAAACTTGCAAAACTTGTCAAGGAGAAAAAAAGTAAGCAGAATTGGCTTGACTATTACCAAATAAAATATTCAAGAAATCCATTACAAAGACCAACGAGAAAGGTATTGTTATGTACTTGTGTTGTACATCAATTATCAGGAATTATTTCACTTGATTTTTATAGAACATCTAAGTTTTGTTGTGATACGTGCATCCTTTGAGATGTTAATTGGTACCATTCACTTGCAGACTGGATTCCTTGGCCTTTGTGGGGATAAAGTGGATGCAATTGAGTATCAGACAGCTGAAATTGAAAGACTGTCAAAAGAAGTGAGTACGAATTCCCAATTGTTCCTTGTAGATGTATCTGCCTTTTACAAGATGTGTACTCATTTACATTGTACAGTGTTGCCGTTAATTATAACTTGAAAACCATCAACCTTGTTATTATAGCCCTTGAAATCCGCATAAAATTTAGTTCTGCTCAAAGGTTGGGTACTTTTTGCTCTCTTTCTAGTATTTAACTGGAGCCTCTCATGAAAAAATCTCTTGTAATATTCAAATTTATCATCACAACAACTTCCATCACATTGCTTTTAACGGTGAGTAACTGAGTGTATTGACATGCATAATTTTGCATTGTATCTCCCCGATGAAAAAATCCCTTGTGATAATTTCTGATGCTGCTGAACTGGTATTTACTTTTGTAAAGAGTTCAACAATTGATATAGTACGTAAGGTACTATTACGTACGTAATAGTACGTAAGGTACTATATCAATTGTTGATATAGTTCAACAATTGTAGAAAGTTCGACGAAAACTTGCTAACAATGAAAAGATTTTAAAATGGAAATAACTCTTCTATGCATCTAAATTTTTAAGAATTGCTTTCCGTATTTGCTAACTTATTCTTGTAAGTTAGACAAATATATATCTTATGTATTATTATATAGTGAATTTCTGCTGCCTCGAGATAGATTTTGAACTTCTTTTGGCTATAGTCTAAGCATCACATTCATCTGCAGATAGATGAAGAGCGGGAGAGGGTAAAAACTGATCCAAAATGTATAATGCCAGCGTCGTTTGTCTCCTTTAAAACTCGGTGGGCTGCTGCTGTGTGTGCACAAACACAGCAATCTCGAAACCCGACTTTGTGGTTAACAGAGTGGGCATCGGAGCCACGTGATATTTACTGGGATAATCTGGCAATTCCTTATGTTTCTCTGACTGTCAGAAGGCTTATTGTTGCTGTTTCTTTCTTCTTCCTTACGTTCTTCTTCGTGATCCCCGTTACTGCCGTGCAATCCCTTGCAAATATTGGGAGTATTGAAAAGAAGGCACCATTTCTTAGGCCAATTGTTGAAGTGTAAGTATTGCGTCTAAGCATTGCAAATTAACCTATTCTGGTCTTGTTCACTGTTTTCCATTTTGATGGTGTGTGAAAAAGTAACTGGGGTCTACACTAATTGTCTTTCTTTGATTAAAATTCAAAACAATCCCTTTGATTCTTGGCTTTGCACATTTTCATTTGAAATACATTACTCCCTAGAAATCATGGCCAAGAAGTTTGTCATCACAGTTGATGGTAATTGATATCCTGCTTTAAAATTTTCTACCCCATGTGGTCAATTTTTCTACAACTGCTGTTAACTGATTTTTTCTTTAATGAAACTGAAATTGGAGGGCTATCATCTTCATTGTAGAATCTTCTCCATCTCTCATTGCTTTATATATATATGTTGAAGGTGGGTAGGAACTTCTCATGTTTCTGTTAGCTTGTGATAGTGCTGGCTCTACGAACTTAATTTTGTTCACTTTTGATTTTAGAGAGAAAACTGAGGTTGGTTTGTATATGTTGATGTTTGGTTAAAAACTTCTCCTTTGCTGAATAAATTATGAATAGCCATGTATGGTATTTATGATCTTGTCGTTTTGCTTGTAATATTAATATGATGCTCACTGTGCAGACCTTTCATCAAGTCCTTTATCGAAGGTGTTTTACCTGGGATTGCTTTGAAGATTTTTCTTATAGTGCTACCAACAATATTGATGATAATGTCCAAATTTGAGGGCTACTTGTCAAAATCATCCCTGGAGAGGAGATCTGCCTTGAGATACTACTTATTCAACTTCATAAATGTTTTCCTTGTGAGTGTAATAGCAGGAAGTGCACTTGAACAACTCAAGAATTTTTCAAAGCTGGCCCCAGGAGAGTACGTTTCTTGACCATAAACCAACGTGCCTTTGTTTATCTTGCTTATACCTGATAGTGAAAATATTAACGGTTCATTATCGGTGAAAAAACTTTGCTGATTGTTTTCTTAAAAGTTGTGCTTTATAAATAAAACCGGTTGTCAGTATTTGGATGGATATTCTTATCTAAGAAGTTTGTGATTGGCTCATTGCAGTATTCCTAAAACAATTGGTGTCGCAATACCGATGAAAGCAACTTTCTTTATCACTTATGTAATGATTGATGGATGGGCTGGTGTTGCTGGAGAGATCTTAAGATTGAAGCCGTTGATATTCTTTCATCTAAAGAACTTCTTTCTGGTGAAGACTGAAAAGGATAGAGAGGCAGCCATGGATGCTGGGAGCATTGGCTTTAACACGGGCGAACCTCAAATACAATTGTATTTTCTTCTAGGCCTCGTCTATGCTGTGGTGACACCAATTTTTCTTCCGTTCATATTGGTTTTCTTTGCACTGGCATTTGTGGTGTATCGCCACCAGGTAGAATTACTCTCTCTCTCGGATCGTTTATTGGCCTTCCCATAGAATGTTGACACGGATACTCCATGATGCTGTTTGTCTTATGTGCAGATCATAAACGTATACAATCAAGAATATGAAAGTGCCGCAGCATTTTGGCCAGCTGTACATGGCCGTATAATGTTTGCCCTCATCTTCTCACAGATAGTTCTGATAGGATTAATGAGTACAAAACGTGCCGTCACAACCACACCGTTCCTTATTGCACTTCCAATCATGTCCTACTTTTTCCATCTTTTCTGTAGAGGCCGCTTTGAACCAGCTTTTGTCAATTACCCTCTACAGGTTCGTTTAATCATCTGCACACACACACACACATATATATATATATATATATATATATATATATATATATATATATATATATGGAAAATTTCTTAATTAAGAGGATTCACTTGGCTAATACTTTTTTTAATTCCAGGAAGCAATGATGAAAGATACACTGGAACGAGCAAGAGAACCGAACCTGAATTTGAAAGGCTATCTTCAAAATTCATATGTGCACCCGGTTTTTAAAGATGAAGAGGAAGAAGAAGACGATGACCATGTCAATGGAAAATACGATGACAATGCTGTAGTAGCCACCAAAAGACAGTCTCGAAGAAATACACCAGCCCCAAGTAAAATGAGTGGTGCATCTTCTCCATCGCTACCTGATGTTGTTCCTGAAATTTAAATTCGGAGTTTTAAGCTAGAGCTTGGTGTAGTGATTGTGTAATTAAACGAGAGAAGAAATAGCTTCAATTTTTTTTTTATTTTTTTTTTTGTGTGTAAGATGATACCATGTGAGGCGAATGTAAGGATTTTTCGACTTTAATATGGTTGTAATCCTATTTGATATACACGGTGTAGGATGTGAATATTACCCCCCACCACATGAGCTTTAATTCAGAAGTTTCACTGTTTGATTCTTGTGCCCTTCTCCCTTTATAAACGATTTATCACCTGGTGAAATGCAACACGTCCTTTTAAACGATAGATCTACATAAATGAGTTTTTATTTGTAGTATAGGTACTTCTAGAAAAATAATAATTGCAAACATATAATTTTGTTCTGAATGACTATTATCATTTTCTTTTCCATAAAAAAATTGGGTCACATGTTTTCATATAATAAATATTAAATATGGCAAAAATCTCTTTCAATTATTTTTATTCTCATTCCTCTCAAATTAAATCCAGTAGAAAAAAATTATTATCCCTAAAATCCTTTACTTTTTTGTTTTAGTGCAGTAAATAGATATGATTTCGTCTTTACTTCTAATCTGCTATGAGTTATATGACGTATTGAATTTATGTTATTTTTATGATCACGATTTTGTTATGCAATACCGAACAGGAGTATGAATCCCCATTTATTTTAGGATGTTGAACGTGACAACTGACAACTTTATTTTAAATATTTTATTTATTTATTTTCTTCGTAAATAAGATTTAGCATGCGATATTTTTTCTACTTTCCAAAAGTAAATTCCAAAATTAGACCCATGAAATTGGCTATTCAATATTAAATTAAAAGAAAAAGGAAAAAGAAAATCTGCAGAAAAAGGAAATTAAATTAAATGTGTTTAGCGAATGATTATTTAACCGCATTAATTAATAGTTAAAAATATTTATATTTTTTCCCACCAAAATCTGGCCCATTTATTTCCGTGAAGATCCAACCTAATTAAAATTACCAAAAAACCACGCTTCCATAAATAACCCAAATACTTAATTGCTGTCAAATATTTTCCTTTTCTGTTCTCCACATTATTTTTAATTGATAAAAATATAATAAAATAATACCGCTTTTGTGGGCCCATCTGATTTATTTATTTATTTAATTCGGTTGGTGTGTCGTATCTCTACTTATTTTTTGCCCCTGTTGCAAAGCAAAGACGTATATAAGACGCGAGTAATCAATCCTCTTTCATTATAATTCTTCCTTCGATATCAAAACTCTTCCCAAGAGATTCTTTCTCATCTCCAATTCCAATTGATGTTTTTATTTAGCCCCTTTCGCCAAATCTGCGATTCGTTCTTCATCTCGGAAGTAATTCACGGCGGTTGAATAAATTGGATTCGGAGAAGAAACACTCTGATCGTTAATCAGGTGAGCTGAATTCATCGCCTCTGTTTTTTTCGCCTACTGTTTTTTCAATCTGTTTGTGGTGATTTGGTATTCCTATAAACGTGAATTGTCTCGTGCGATTGTGTTCTTCTTCTTCTCCTTCTCCTTTTTTTTTTTTTTTTTTTTTTTTTTTTTTTTTTTTTTTTAATTTTATAATACTGGAGGTCTTGATTGATGAGGCGATTAGTGTGATCGACTGATATGAAATTTCAATTTTCGAAGCTGATTATTGGTTGATTTGGTCGATTTATCTGCGTAGGTTTTTTTTTTTAATGAGCAGTGATGTATACAAAGTGCTTTGACTCAGTTTCTGGTTGACTCGGCGTCAACATCTTTCCCTTTTAATGTTCCTGTAGATCAGGAGCCTATTTCTATGAAATTCATGCTTATGTGCAAATATGATTGCATCGATCTATGTTTTATCATGTATGTTAAAATTTAGGACTGCCCAGTGTGGGAAAAGGAATAGAGTAGTTTTGTTACTGAAAGACTGTTGCTTTTCATATTGAGTAGTTTTGCCTTTTGGAACTGGATTTGTGTTATCTATTTATAAACTAAGCATTCTTTTGTCATGTGTATCTGCAGTGTGACAATGGCAGTAGTAATTACAAAGCAAGAAAGTCATATTCATTGTACAAACAATGGAATACCGGTGGTACGGAGAACCCTGAGGCGTGTGCCTGCAAGGAAGAGGAAGCTTATCATTAGTTTTGATGACGATGAAGAATATGAGGAGAATGTTAAATTATCCCCTCCAGAATCAGAGGATTTGTCTGGTCAGAAAGCAAGAAAATTTGGAAGCAGCAACATTTCGTGTGAGAGAACAACACCAAGTCTACATCAGAGGGTTTCAACCGTAAAAGTAAAAGAAACAGCGCAGACAAAGAAAAGTTCTGGTAGCTCCTCCGCGGAGAGATATATCTCGTCAAAGAAGAGATGCCACCGTGTTTCTCCAGGTGAAATAGATTCTGATAGTTCTGATGAGAAAGGCAACGATTGTTTTAGGTCCTTAGAGGAGTTATTGGCTAAAGAAGGTTCAACAGTACGTAGGTTTCAGAGAAAACGCTCAGAGAAGGTTTCCAAGAAGTCAAATGAGAAAAATATCTGTGGAAATAAAGTTAATAGGAAAAAGGAAGAAACTGACAGTGAAGAAGAGTGGTGTGAGAGCAAGAAAAGACGTAGGCCATCAGTGGCAACATCCGGCAACCAAAAGAAACAAACTGAGGATATGGATGATCAAAAAACATCCAAAAGGCGCCGTGTTTCTTCACACAAATTTTTGGACGAAAATTTCATTTCATGTGATTGGGTTGATGATGAAGAAGATGTGGTTTCGTCTATTGATATAGTGGTTGGAGGAACTGATTTAATCAACTTATCAAGAATCCAAAGTAGTGCCAAGAAAGCAAAAAGGAGTTTAAAGAGCGCCAAAAGGAAATCTGATGGTTCTGCAAAACACTCTCCATCTAACTTATCCACCTCTTCATCGTCCTCTTGTTCATCAATTCCACAACTTGATACTAAAGCAGAACAGAGATCTGTAAGTAAAAACACAAAGGTATGCTCTTAATCTTGCTTTCGTTACATCATTTGCTTGCACGCAAATTGCTTCTTCTTCTTTTTCCTTGTGAGATAATGCTTTCTTTTCTCGTAACAGGTAAATGGGAAGGAGTCGATTAAATGTCACCAGTGTCAAAGAACAGATAGAAGAATTGTTGTTCCGTGCACAAAGTGTGACAAGAAAGTGTACTGCATCCAATGTATTAAGCAATGGTGACTATTCTTACTCTACACTTTTGCATTACAAATATTTCATGAAAACATATATAGTAATTTCCTATCTTGTTCACATAGGTATCCCGAATTATCTGAGGAGGAAGTTTCAGAGGTTTGCCCACATTGCCGGAATAATTGCAACTGCAACTTGTGCTTGCATTCCACCTCCATTTTGAAGGTTTGTTTGTTTGCTGAAATATTCAATTGTCTTTAATCCCTGTGTTATTGAATCCGCTAAAATCTTGTTTATCTGTTAACTCAGACATCGAAGAGAGATATGAACGATGATGAGAAGATTCGACATCTGCACTATCTCATAAGCAAACTTTTTCCCTATCTACAACACATTCACAAAGAACAAATTGAAGAGATAGAGATGGAGTCTGAAATTCAAGGTATGTGTCTTTCAGTTTGAGGTAGTGTGTGCATTTCAGACCATCCATTTTCATCACTGATGGTATCTTTCATATTTGCATTGGCAGGGATACCTTCATCTTCAGTCGAAGTAAAACGGGCATTTAGCTATACCGATGAGCGAGTATATTGGTAAGTGGCTTTCTTTCCTTTTACCTCTGCATTTTGTACTCCTTTATCTGATATAAAGTGTTTGCTTACTGTCTTCCTTGATTATCGAGCAGCAACCACTGTTCAACTTCAATTGTTGATCTTCATCGAAGCTGCCCAAGTTGCTCTTATGAGCTGTGCCTTAGTTGTTTCCGTGAGATCCGTTCGGGTCAGCATCCAGGAGGACCAAACAAACGGGTCCTGCAATATGTGGACAGAGGCTGTGATTACATGCATGGTGGAAATCCACATCCAGAATCTTGTAATACACAGTCTTTAGATAGAGATTCTGAAATCCCATTTGAGTGGGTTTTAAATAAAGATGGGAGTGTTTTTTGTCCTCCCGAAGAAATGGGCGGATGTGGCAGTTGCAAATTAGAGCTCAAGTGCCTCCTTCCAGAAAATTGGATCTCGCTTCTAGAAGAACGAGCAGAAAACGTATTGAGAGAATATAAACCAGTCAAGGATGTTTCTGATCATACAACTTGTGCTTGTGAAGAAGGCTCGAAAGACAAATGTTTGTATTGCCCAGATTCGAAGGATACATTGAACGAGGAAGAGCTTCTGCACTTCCAAAAGCACTGGGCTAAAGGAGAACCGGTTATTGTTAGAAATGTTCTTGAGCATACAAGCGGATTAAGTTGGGAGCCGATGGTTATGTGGCGTGCATTGTGTGAGAATACAGATTCGCAGATCAGTTCAAGAATGTCTGATGTAAAGGCTATTGATTGCTTAGCTGGTTGTGAGGTTATTATCTTCTTCTAATGATTACATTTGAATACAGAAATTACATCAAATTGTTGTTTGATGCTAATATTTGGTTCTTTACGATGGCTATTGCAGGTGGAGATTAGTACTCGGAAATTCTTCAAGGGTTATACAGAGGGGAGAAGATACGAGAATTACTGGCCGGAGATGCTAAAACTCAAGGATTGGCCACCATCTGATAGTTTTGAGGATTTTCTACCACGACATTGTGACGAGTTTATTCGAGCCTTGCCATTCCAGGAGTACACAGATACAAGGGCTGGTTTTCTTAACCTTGCTGTGAAATTGCCAGCAGCTGTCATTAAACCTGATATGGGTCCAAAGACATACATTGCCTATGGCGTCAAAGACGAACTTGGAAGAGGGGATTCAGTCACTAAGCTTCACTGTGACATGTCTGATGCGGTATGAACCCAAAACCAAAACAGTGCTCCATAATGCAAAATAAAATAGAAACTTATATATGTAATTTACGCATGAACCAATACTGCCAAAATATTGCCCCATTCTGTGTTAAAAGAAAAACAAACGAAAACCTACTTGGGTATTTTACGTCCACATTATTAAATATTTTTCGTCCACGTTATTAAAGTTGACCAGTTTAATTGCCATCTCATTTTTTAAGACAGCACATAACGAATTTTGTTTTCAAACCCCAAATTCGAAATGATTGAATTTCTGTTGATGTAGCTTTCAAGTTTCAAGTCTTGTGTGCTAAAACAACCTCGTACTGGTTTCAGGTGAACATTCTGACACACACAGCAGAAGTAGATTTATGTGAGGAGCAGTGTCAAGCAATTGAATTGTTGAAAGAAAAGCACAAATCTCAGGATGAAGAAGAAAGCAGGGCTAGAAGAGAAAATGGAAGTCCTTGTGAATCTAGTGGCAAAGACACTTCCTTTTCATATCATAAAAATCAAACAGAAGGGCGGTCGGATAATAGTGGCGCCGCTCTGTGGGACATTTTTAGAAGAGAAGATGTGCCGAAACTAAAAGAGTATCTCGTTCAACATGCGAGCGAATTTAGACACACCTATTGCTGCCCCGTTAATCAGGTAAATCAATTATTATATAAAATAAAAATAAAATAAAAAAGTGAGGTTTTCTACCAACTGTTTACTGAACCGTTTTCTTGCCTTTGCTTTCCAGGTTATTCATCCAGTTCATGATCAGACCTTCTACTTGACCTCGGAACATAAACTTAAGCTAAAGGAAGAATACGGTATGCACATAGAATTTGCACTAGGAATTTTTTTACTATAATTGAATTTTCAGTAGGAATCTTAATGAGGCAACCTTTTATTTTATCATTTCAGGCATAGAACCTTGGACATTTGAACAGAAGCTAGGAGAGGCGGTTTTCATTCCTGCAGGGTGTCCGCACCAAGTGAGGAATCTCAAGGTAAATCGAAATTCAGATTCGGTGTTTGCTTGCAAAAATAATATATAAACATTTTCCATTTTTACTGATAATCTGTTCGCTACTATCGCAGTCATGCACAAAAGTTGCTGCAGATTTCGTTTCTCCCGAAAACTTACATGAATGCCTCAGACTGACTGAAGAATTCAGGAAGCTGCCAAGAGAACATAGAGCCAGAGAAGACAAATTAGAGGTAGCTTTTTAATATCCCATTTGACAATTAAAAAAATATATAAAAAAAATGAGAGAATAATTACCAAAATTTATATCGTGCAGATCAAGAAGATGATCCTTCATGCCGTTGACAAAGCAGTTGAAGATCTTGAAGAACTGACGTCTAGGATCGAGAATTAACAGCAATGAAAAATCATATCTCTAATTTTGCCGACAAGAAAAACCATTCTTCATGATCGCGTATAGATATACTCTGTAGAGCAAGTAGCCTCCATATAAATCGGCCTGCCTAGGAGCGGATAAAAGTGTAAATAGATTATAGAGAGATTTGACAAAATTGTATACAGCTACTGATTTTTTAATGAGATGCAGATTTTATCCAAAACAAACTTTAATGTCACATAAAAATAAGACAACTTTAGTTTAAGGATTTGCTGTCACCTGAACCTTACTTGATCTCATAACGGCTTTTCCGAAAGTCAACTCAAGCTTGTTCTTCGAAGTCAAATCGAGCTTTTTCTTCATGGGATTGGATCAAAATCCCAAAACTGTCTCCTTCAGAAAGTTTCAGTCTCCACATTACCTATATTCAAGCAACACGTAAAGAACAACAACAACGATCCATTAATTAAGCTAAAGGGCAGAAGAAAAGTAAAATTGAAATTAACATGTTAAGGAAAAAAACTAAAATCAAAATTTCAAAAACTAGAACGAAAAATCTATTTCAAAATATTAGGGTATTTTGGATAACTTTTGTTTCTATTTTATACCCCTAATAACATACAATGCATAATCTGTATAATATAGAGAAATAATAATAAAAATAATGTACACAATGCTATACATGATATAGCATTAAGGTAATCACTAATTACATGATCATGGATGGTGTAATCCATGGAAAAATTTAAACACTATCATTATGCAATTTATCAAGGAATTTAGTATATTCACATATTACATTACCATGGATAGGTCTATGAGTTGCTTCACCTGGTGAAATGTACCGGGTAATTTTACACCACAGATCTACATAAATAATCATCCACTACGCACGTATACATGTAGGTAATTTTTTTAATTGTAGATCGATTGTGCAAAATCACCCGATGTATTCCAGAGGGTGTATTCCAGAGTGCAGCATCTACAAACCATCCTAACCAATTCAAGTTCATGTTATCCAACTCATCTCACACAATTGTAATTCCTAAATTTAGGGGATTCGAATAATCATATGTTAGATAATTCATATCTTTATCAATGTTGCTGTAATAGAATCAAATGGAATTGTTCTTAGTATAAATAGGAATACGTTCTATAACTTTTTTGAAGCCGGTATCAAAAACGTTTGTTCTTAGTATAAATAGGAATACGTTCTATAACTTTTTTGAAGCCGGTATCAAAAACGTTTTAGAACATATTCCTATTTATACTAAAAACAATTCTATTTTATTCTATTAGAGCATCATTGATTAAGATATGAATTTGGTCATTGATTAAGATATGAATTTGGTCCGTGGTCAATACTGCCAAAACCACACCGGTAACCCAAGTCAATTCGCGAGGTTTTTAAAATCCACCGGTGAGTTACAAGAAAAACATGTAGAAACATTATTAGGCTGTGGACCAATGATGGCATAACCCGAGTCAATTCGCAAGGTTTTTAAAATCCACCGGTGAGTTAGAAGAAAAACATGTAGAAGCATTATTAGGTTGCGGACCATTAAACCGAGTCAATTCGCGAGGTTTTTAAAAATCCACCGGTGAGGTACATGAAAAACATGTAGAAGCATCATTAGGTTGCGGACAATCGATGTCACCGTTAACCCGACTCGAGTCAATTCGCGAGGTTTTTTAAATCCACCAGTAAGTTACACAAAAAACATGTAGAAGCATCATTAGGTTGCAGACCATTGATGGCGCACACTTGTGGGCACTATCCAGTGGCGCACTAGTGCACTTGCACTTTTGTGTGTCGCACATGTGCACTATTATGCCTACGAGTGTACAAATTGTACACTTTCAAGTGTTACACGATACTTGATTGAGGTTCAAATCCGTGACAGATGCTCATCTACTAGTGTGTAGATTGAATGGTATATGATTGTGTATGAATCTATCATGCAAAAGCTACCGAATTTCGGTAATGTCCGGATTGAATGGTATATGAATCTATTATGCAAAAGCTACGGAGTTTCACTATAACTATACACTTTAAACTTTACACCCATCATCCATATCTATGTATATGTGATTGCCTACAAATCTATGATTCAAAAACCTATGCTATCCATATCTATGTATATGTGATTGCCTACAAATCTATGATTCAAAAACCTATGCTGCAAAAACTATTCGATGTATTTGACCAGGTGTAGCATCTACAGTACGCCAAACCCCATAACCTTAAGGTCTTTCGATTGGTCCCATCAAATTGCTCAATCGAAAAATCTTAGTTTCGCCCATGTTTTGTATGATAAATATTAACAAAACCACTTAATAATAAAAACTAATTGAAAATCATAAGTCATGTAATAATCATAGGTTTCAAGAAAATAATTCCATCAAAATAAAGAAAACTTACCCATAAACTTTTTTTTGTTAGAGATCAAGGATGAAGATCTTCTAAGGTTGACATCTTCTCCTCATGATTGGACCTTTCTTTTATATTTGTACTATTTTCCCATGAGATTTGTGTGCCCATAGTATTGTCTATGAAAAGATTGGATGTGTGCTTTTATAGGCCACAAAAAAGGTATTCCTAGGGTTCACGAATTATTCATAGAATTGACGATACTACCCTTCATAAAGATCAACTAATCAAGGAAAAAAATCTGTAATTACCCGTAAATACCGGACATGCACTCTAAGAGGGCAGTCTCCATTCAAATTACGATTCTATTTCTTTCTATAGTTCTCTTTTATTAACAAGTCCCAATATTTTTCTAATTTCTCTTAGATGGTTTATACAATAAAAATATCAAATACTTTTAACTACAATTAATATTTTATTTATGGAACAAAATAAAAAATATAAAAAACAAATCAGTGTGAAATAATAAAAAATAAAAATCAGCAAAATTTAATCACGGTAGAAAATAAACTGAATTAAAACATGGTATATTATTATGTTTGGGTAAATTACGAGGTCAAATTACGAAAAACCTCTCATGTTTGGGTAATTACATCTACCACCTTAACTATGAATCTTCATACACACCCATCCTTGTGGTGTCAAATTTAGTGAAATATTCTCGATTATGTGGAATATTCTCCAGTTTGTACTTGTTTTATCCCATTCGAGCTCCACGTTTTAAAATAAGATGATCATAGGATGTGTCTCTTGGCTAGTAAATACTAGATTGTGATGCATCAGAAACTGCATTTTAGCACAAAACGTGTACAAACAACATTCCCGATATAGAAAATTATGTTGAATTCGACACCATAATAGTGGACGTATAAGAAGATTCATAGTTGATGGGTAATTGTAATTACCCAAAAATTAGGAGTTTTTTCATAACTTGACTTTAATTCAGGGGTGATCGTAATTTACACTATTATATTCATATAAGGGTAAATTACACCCACACCCCTGAGGTATGCTTAAATAACTTTAAGGTCTATGTGGTATCGATAATTACACTCACCCCCTTGAAACGTAGTTATAAACTCTAATGTGATAATGCATTGGATACGTTATTACGATAGAGTTTTAACGGACTATTGGTTTCAGGAAGTGATGGAGACAACAAAGAGTTATGGGTGATTTAATAAATATTGGGGGAGCCATGTCACCCCATAACTCCCCATAACTCTATGTTATCTCCACCAATAGCTAAAAGTAATAGTCCATTAGAACCCTATCGGAATAATGTATCCAATGCATTATCCCGTTGGAGTTTCTAACTACGTTTCAGGGGGTGAGTGTAATTATCGATACCACAGGGTCCTTAAAGTTAAGCATACCTCAGGGGTGTGGGTGTAATTTACCCTTCATATAATTATCTTTAGGATAAATTCCACTTCCCCTTACTTTGGTTCTATATCACTTTACTCCTTTTACTTTTGATTGCATCGATTTCCCCCCTTGTACTTGAAAAATTATCTCAATATGTCCTTTACCGCCAGTTTTCAGACCATTGACCTTAACACCGTTTGATCTAAGTTTGAAAATTACAAAAAAACCACCCCTCCTAGTTTAAATAATTATTAAAAAAACAAAAAAAAAAAATTGTGGTTGGCGTCGTGGACTATGTTTTCTCGATGTCTTGAATTTTTTATTATTTTATTTTTATTTTTTTATCTGTTCTTGTTTTTTTTAAATAATTATTTAAACTGGGAGATGTGGCGTTTTTGTAATTTCAGATATTAGATCAAACGGTGTTAGGATCAAATGTCTAACAACTAACAGCGAAGGCATCATTAAAACAATTTTTTAAGTATAGGGGGGCAAATCGATGCAATCGAAAGTAGAAGGGGAAAAAGTGATACCGAGCCAAAGTACAAGGGGGAAAAGTGGAATTCAGCCTTATCTTTATTTTATTAATTAATGCCCTTGATAAAGCTAATCACTAAACCAAACAGCAGAAAAATGTAGCCCAATAGGATGGCCCGGAATAAGTAACATAGCCCAATTATTACCTTTATCGGATGGCCCGGAATAGTTAAAATAGCCCAATTATTACCTTTTGTCGATAAAGGCCCAATTAAACTCTTATCTATTTCACCTTTGACAAATCCCACCCAACGGTCTATTCCCACACACACACACATACACTAATGTTCACCCAAATTCAACCGGCGCCACGGATTCACTTCCTGCCACCGCCACTCCCGCCGGATTATCCTCTTCTGCGCCGCCACTGCACTCCGCTTTTGAATCACCGTCGTTCGCGCACTTCATTTCGTCGTCTTCGAGTGTCCAATTGCTTAAATGGCGAAGGTGGAAACGCGAGTTGTAGCCAGGAAAGCGAAGAATCCACTGCCGGTAGAGAAGATGGCGTGAGAAGAGCTTACCCTTATCATGAAATTGAACCGAAGTGGCAGCGCTACTGGGAGGAGACCAAGACCTTTCGGACACCCGATGAGATTGATATGTCCAAGCCCAAATTCTACGTTCTCGACATGTTTCCTTATCCCAGGTCCTCTCTCTCTCTCTCTCTCTCTCTCTCTCTCTCTCTCTCGATTAATATGGTAATTAGGCATATTGATTTATGCAGTACACGTAGTTTGTGTATATTATTGAAATCAGTTGCTAATTTGCATTTGTTTTTTCGCTTCATTCATCAAACCTCGTTTGACAATTACTCATTTCCACCCAAAATTCACAAAGCTAAGAGAATTTGCTTTCAAACACATTTGGATTGCGCATAAAATTTTCAAATTAATAATTGTTTCAGTGGAGCTGGTTTGCACGTGGGGCATCCTCTTGGTTACACAGCAACAGATATTCTTGCTAGACTTAGACGTATGCAAGGCTTCAATGTTTTGCATCCAATGGGTTGGGATGCTTTCGGCTTACCCGCCGAGCAATATGCAATTGAGGTAATTTTCCTCTTTGTCTATTTCATTTCATTTTTAGTAAAAAAAAACATTCGATCGTAATTTTTTCATTGACAGACAGGTACACACCCGAAGGTCACAACAATTAAAAACATCGACCGCTTCCGCTCCCAGGTTAGTTTCCTTGCTCTCTGTTTTTTACGAAAATTCACGTGATATATTTTTCCCGAAAGCATTTCAATATTTTTTTATATCTTAGTAGTTGGTTCTGCTATTTTATATTGACATCGGTATTTTATTTCCAGCTTAAATTATTAGGCTTCTCGTACGACTGGGATCGTGAAATTTCTACTACGGACACTGAATATTACAAATGGACACAGTGGATATTTCTGCAGCTCCTGAAAAGGGGATTGGCTTATCAGGTATAAATTATTTCGTACGGATATAATTTTCATTATTTCAGACACAATTGATTATATTAACTTTATAAATGAAACAACATAGGCTGAAGTTCCTGTCAACTGGTGCCCCGCACTCGGCACTGTCTTGGCAAATGAAGAAGTAGTAGATGGTGTGAGCGAGCGTGGGGGCCACCCCGTAATTAGAAAAGTACGTTTTATTTTGTTATTTTTTTTTAATTCTCTAAATGTCTATTATTTTCGTGCAATTTTTTTGCTTCGTTCTTTATTTTTCATTTGTTGGATGGTTTTATGATTTTTTTCAGTTCATTGTTTATTACCGAGCAGCCTATGCGGCAATGGATGCTGAAGATTACTGCATACGCAGACCGCCTTCTAGAAGATTTAAACGATCTCGACTGGCCTGAAAGTGTTAAGGAAATGCAAAGGAACTGGATAGGGAGATCTGAAGGAGCAGAGATGCAATTCAGTGTAGTGGATATTGAAAGTGACCTCAAAGTTACTGTTTACACTACCAGGCCCGATACCATTTTTGGTGCAACGTATATTCCTTTTGGCCATTTTTTTTAATTTTATTTTTCTAACAAATACTATGGTTTCTCATTATTACATTTTGTCTTGTTTCTTAGGTACTTAGTCCTGGCGCCTGAGCATGTACTGTTGTCAGCCATTGTATCTGATGCCCAACGAAAAGACGTATGTCTTTTTCTACTTTCTATTTTCTATTTGTTTTGTTTTATAATGGGAATAGCTAGGGGTGGAAATTGGAATGGAATTTCCGATTTCCGTCGATTCTGATACAAAATTTCCCGATATTGGAACAATATTTTTCATTCCGAAATCCAATTTTTTCCAATTTTTTTTGGATTAGAATCGGAATATATACGAGATTCTGGTTTCCGCTACGATTTTTATTTCCAAACATTCCGATTTTTTACGCTTCTAATACCAAAATTAATATAGATTATACATTTTTAGGTTGCTAAAAATTGGAATTCTCCCAATTCCGCCGATTCCTATTCAAATATTTCCGATTTTGGAACAAGTTCTTTTTATTCCAATTTCTGCAATTCTGATTTTCGATTTATTCTTCTAACAGAACAAAATATTCTTGAGTACAGGTGGAAGAATACAGAGAAGTAGCTTCTAGAAAGAGCGACCTCGAGAGAACCGAACTCCAGAAGGAAAAAACCGGAGTCTTTAGCGGCTGTTATGCAACAAATCCAGCTAATGGAGTATCTATTCCGATTTGGGTAGCTGACTATGTTTTGGGAAGGTGTGCTAATTTAATAAATTTATCCAATTCTTGATGAGAAGTTTTTGTTGAAGTTATGAACTTATGATATTAATCTAAATTGATATGAACACAGCTATGGGACAGGAGCAATAATGGCTGTACCTGCTCACGACACACGAGACCATGAATTTGCTTTGAAGTACAATATTCCAATTTGCGGGGTTGTAAATCCAGAAAATGGAAGTCTCGATTATTTCGAGAAGGCTTTCTCTGGTGATGGTACAATGATAAATTCATCAAGCACAACATCAGGACTTGACATTAACGGCTTAAGCAGCAAAGACGCTGCTTCTAGAGTCATTGAGTGGCTCGAGAAAACTGGAAATGGGATGAAAAAGGTAGATTATATAATCAATCCCAGACTTCGATTTTCGTTTCGATTTTTTTTTTTTTCTTTTTATGAAATGTTATATATTTTATGTACTTATTATAGGTGAATTACAAGTTAAGGGATTGGTTATTTGCAAGGCAACGTTATTGGGGAGAGCCTATACCTGTAATTTTTAATGACAGAGGTGAATGCGAACCGATTTCTGAAGCTGAGTTGCCTCTTACACTTCCCGAGTTAGATGATTTTACTCCAACTGGAACAGGGGAGCCACCACTTGCTAAGGCTCTATCTTGGGTATATTCTTTGTTTTTTTTTTTTTTTTTTTTAATTTAATTTTTTTTTATAATTAATTTGATGAATATTTAATTTCAGGTAGAAACAATTGACCCTACCACTGGTGGATCTGCTAGGCGCGAGACGAACACTATGCCACAATGGGCTGGCTCTTGCTGGTGTGGCTTATTTATTTCTTCATTTTTTCGAAGTTTCTTCAACGTGACCCAAAATAGATCTTTTCTCGTTCATCCAACTTTTGATATTTAAAGATTTCGTAATTCTTTTTAAATTTATATGCAGGTACTATCTGAGGTTCATGGACCCGAAAAATTCCAACGCATTGGTTGACAAGGAAAAAGAAATGTAAGTTATTTGGCCTCGATTTCTGCACATTCTTGTTAATTTCCATACAAATTAGTGTTTATTTTAACATCCAATTATTTTTTTTTTCTTTTTTGAAGGTATTGGAGCCCTGTTGATGTGTATGTTGGTGGGGCCGAGCATGCAGTTCTTCACTTACTTTATGCTCGATTCTGGCACAAGGTTTGTGCTTACATATTTTCTATTATTGCATTTAATTATGTCATTATGTAACCGATAATATTTTAGAAACTATATAATGTTTGGTTTCATACTTGTATTTGTTTTTCGTGGCATAATAAACATGTTGTTACTTTTCTTCAGGTTTTGTATGATATTGGCGTAGTTTCTACCAAGGAGCCTTTTCAATGTGTCATAAACCAGGGAATTATTCTCGGAGAAGTAAGTATAGTTAAGTTATTTACATAATATTAATTCCACTTGTGCAAAAATATATTAATTGGTTAAATGGCAGGTGCAATATTTGGCCTTCAGAGATTCTGACGGGAATTTGGTTTCTGCTGATGTCGTTAATGACACGGGCAACTTCAGCCAAGAAAGCATACCCGAAGAGAAGGTAGATGTCATATGTACTCCTCACAATTTGTTTTCTTTTAAATGGCTTTCTCATATGTTTTTTAAATAAATAAATAGGTCGTAAAATCCGGCGATTATTTTGTGATGAAAGACAATCCGAATATCCGTTTGATTGCGCGAGCCCACAAGATGAGTAAAAGTAGAGGAAATGTCGTTAACCCTGATGATGTTGTTTTGCAATATGGTGCTGATTCTCTTCGTTTATATGAAATGTTCATGGGTCCTTTCAGGTATTTTTATTTATTTATTTTGGAATTAACTTTTTCTCTTAATTTTCTTATTATTTGACGCATAGAAAATAATAAATCCCCATATAACTGCGCTTGTAGAGACTCGAAAACATGGAGTACTAGTGGTATTGATGGTGTGCACCGATTTTTAGCAAGAGTATGGAGATTGGTTGTTGGTTTACCGTCTGCTGATGGTAAATTCAAATCTGGAACCGTTGATTTCGAAGGGGAACCTTCTATTGAACAGCTTCGTTGTCTTCATAGATGCATTAATAAGGTAATAATTTATTTTCCGCTCGTAAAGGAAAAAAGAAAAAAAAAACTAATAATGCAAATTTTTATAATGATAGGTAACAGAAGAAATTGAAGCAACACGATTCAACACCGGAATTTCTGCGATGATGGAATTCACTAATGCAGCATATAAGGTCTTCTCTCTTTCTCTTTCTCTCTCTAGACTTGATCCAAACTCGGAACTAATAACTCAAATTTTTTATTTTTTATTTTTTTTAGTGGGAAAAACTTCCAAAATCGATAGTTGAAGAATTTATTTTATTGCTATCGCCGTATGCACCACACATGGCGGAGGAGCTCTGGTCCCGCCTGGGCCACTCTACTTCACTCGCTTACGAGCCTTTCCCTAAGGTATATAATTATTTTTCCCGAAAACATGTTTTTTGTTTAAATAAGGATTAATGCTAGTTACACCGTACTTTTATTGGTTCAATTGGTGATAATGTCTAGTTATTATTGCAGGTAAATCCAGCTTACTTAAAGGAGTCCACGGTTATTTTACCGGTCCAAATAAACGGGAAAACAAGGGGCACAATACAGGTTGAGAAAACGTGCACAGAAGAAGATGCATTTGAACTAGCTTCGCTCGATTCGAAACTGTCGAAATTTCTGTCTGGGAAAAGCATCAAGAAACGAATTTTCGTACCTGGTAAGATTTTAAATATTATTGTTCTAGAAGCTCCGAAAGTCAAAGTGAGTCAGCGGTAGCGCCAGCTAAGCTGGTCTTCATTCGGGCTATGTAAATCGTGTTCTTTTCATGATTATATTCTTATTAGAGCCTAATTAATTCTGTCTTACTAATAATGAATGTATTCATTCATTGAGAGAAGCTCTTGAGGGCGATTAATATGTAAAGCCTGTTTGACTTTTTCGTTGTTCATTTCATTAATGTTAGAAAAACCCTTTTTTACTTTTTTTTTTTTTGCTTTTGAGAAGCCCTTTTGACTTTTTTTATTTTTATTTTTATTTTTTGGTCAATGATAAAATATGGGATGTTTCCTACCTTACCGTTTATTAACGTGGGCCATGTGTGATCTCAAGAAAAAAATTAAGTTCAGAACATGCACCATGGTTTTTTTTGTGCTACACCCGATAAAAGTTACAACGGGGTGAGTTTTTACTGTTGATTTGCATACACTAATGTATTTGTGTTTGCGTATTTATAAAAGATTAAAATCTACCCGATGTATTTGTCTTTACGTGTTTATAAAAAATAAAGATCTACCCGATGTATTTGTGTTTGCGTGTTTATAAAAGATAAAGATATAACCAATTCATCACATAAATAGAGAATTTTTACTATTACAAATTTGACTTTTTTTTTTTACCGAAGTCAGGTGTACACGTCTCAATTTGGAAATCAATTTTTTTTGTTTTATTAAATTATGATTAAAATTTTTTATATGTATTACAATTTGAAGGTATGTTTAAATAGTTAGTATGAATATTGTCTCTACCTACTATCATTAAACAAATATTTATTCACTACCAAACAAATAGTTGACATCCTATATCACGTATTCACGTTTGAATTAGACTATCATATAAAACAAATTGGGTTTTTTTTTTTTCTTTTTTTGATGAATGAAAAAAAAAGGTGGAATTTATTACTTAAAACAAAAAAAAATGGATTTTGATTATATATAAAAAGTAAATCAAATCAATCAAATTGGGGAAAAAGTGCTGGAGAGAAAAAACCCAGGAAACAAACGGTGTCGTTTCGACATTGCAGCTAGCTCCATTGTCATATAGCACGAAACAAAAAGCGAGCACCACCACCACCGCCACAAAGCTTCCGTTTCAAACCAAAACTTTTTACTTTTCGATTTTGGTTTCACTCTCGATTCACCATTTATGTAAAATTGCTTGATCCACTCCCTCTCATTTTGCTCATTCCATTTTACAATGTACATGTATTTCGCTCTCCTAATCCGAATTGCGAATTCCGTAAATCTGTATTTTTACGTGTTTGTAATTTTTCTATGTTTTTTTTTTGTGTTGAATTGAATTACAGGAAGAGAAAGAAGAGGAGGGAGTAGGATTTGAGGAATAAATTTATACACAGTGGTGATTCGGCTGCGTGTGTATGTGATCGGCGATGACGAAGAAGGGATATGCGTCGTTGAAACCGGGGCTGTCGATGCGCCACGTGTTGTGTTTAGGGTGGAAGCTGCTGATTCTGGTGTCCCTCATTCTCTGCGTGTGGGCTTTCCTCAGAATCCAGCAGTATTCTCAGTCGATGGGTTCTTCTGCTTCGGTTGTTTTGCCGAGGAGAACTCGTGTTTCGGACTATCATTTCAGGGGCGATCCCAAAATCGCGTTTCTGTTTCTGGTTCGGAAGAATTTGCCTCTCGATTTTCTCTGGGAAAGTTTTTTCGAGGTAAAGGTTTTTTTAGATGAAGTTAATTGGCATTAATTGAATGTTTCAGTCTTTTGTTGACTTGTTTCTTGTAATTATTATCATTTATGGTGGTTTGAGATGTTCCTTTATCTGTTTGAGACTAATAGCTTTGCACTGGATTTGGATTTGGATTTCCAATTTCATGTTGGGAACTATGTTTTCGTCTTTGCAGAATGTGGACAAGGCAAAATATTCGATATATATACATTCCGAGCCTGGTTTTCTGTTTGATGAATCTACTACAAGACCGATCTTCTTTAACCGGCAGTTGAAAAATAGCATTAAGGTAACTAGTCGAATTATTCATTGTTTGGTTATGGAGACGATATGGAAATGAGTTGACGAGGAAAAAAAAATTTGAAAAGCATTCTTGAATTTGATGGATTATTTTGCTCAATCTAATCAGTTCAATAGATTGATATTAGAGATAATGGTGTAGGTAGCCTGGGGAGAAGAGAGCATGATTGAAGCTGAGAGATTGCTATTTGAAGAAGCCCTTCAGGATCCAGCAAATCAAAGATTCGTTCTCTTATCAGACAGGTTATCTTCATTACAGCCAATAAACATTTCTACAAAACAAAATGAAAAATTATGGAAGTGGTAGTTTTCATGCTTAAATGTAGTGTATCTGCTGTATATCGTACTCTATTTGATATGTGATACTAGTTAAGAAAAAAATCTCCAAATAAACGAGCTGGAGAATGCTTCACTCAGTATGCAGTTTAAGTTGTTGATGTTGCATTAATAGATTTTATCTATTTTGAGTGATTGGTGCTAGAGACTGGAGAATTCTTACTTTACATAAGAGACTGGAGATAGAGAATATATAATTAACATCCTTACAATTATGCCTTGAGAAATTGTGCTTCATTTACCTTAAATTGGCTATAGCTCATTTGTGGGATATTGATTGCACAACCTGCAGAGTTAAAGTAATTACTAATTACTGTTCGTTGCAATAGGATGAGATAATTTACTTTTTTTATTCCCTTCTGGTAATATTTGAATACATCGTTATGTGATTTCTTTGCATGTATCTCAGTTGAGTACGCTTGTCATTTTCTCTGACCATAGTTGAGTGTTTGAATTAGTATCTGAGACTGAGAGTCAGCATCTACTATTCATTATGCCGGTTAGCTTGGTCAAAAATTTCTTTAGCATATTACGTATCCAGTTCATCTAATATATTCCACATTTCGACTTCATAATATATGCTGCTGTTGGAGCATTTGTAGTTATCTGACATTAGTTTTATCAACTGAAACAGCTGTGTACCTTTGTACAACTTCAGCTATATTTACAACTATCTGCAGAATTCTCCAAGAAGTTTTGTAGACAGGTAGGTAGTTGATAAAAATTTGAATGATGCCTTGAACTCATTTGTATTGTAACTTACTAGACGAAGTTATCTATGTAAGATAACAAAATTATGTATTTTCTGGCCCAGCTTTCTTGATAAAAAAGATGTTCGCTACAATCCAAAGATGTCACCATTTTTACCCAAGAACAAGTGGCGCAAAGGATCACAGGTAATATTTGGAGTGTTGTTAAAAATCAAAAAAAAGAAAATATCAAGGACATAAAACAAACTTTGCCTGCATTAATCGAATAGTAGCGTCACTGAGGCTATTAATTTGTCTACTGTACGATTGTGAAATTTTGTTGTTACAACTGAAATATATTGCTATTATGAATTTAATTAGTTTACTGCTCCAGTGGGTCACTTTAATTCGAAGACATGCAGAAGTTATGGTAGATGATGAAATTGTTATTTCGATCTTCAGGAGGTTCTGCAAGGTACATACTTTTTCCCCAATGTATCTTTATTTGCTTGTTTACTTCAGATTGCGTGTTCTTTGGGCTCTATCAATCAAAATCATCACTACACGCCAAGTTCACTTTGATCATATCGTTTTATACATTTGACGTGTACTGGTGCTATTGTAATAAGAGATGAAGAAATGATTTTATGTTGCTTGTTGACCAAAGAATTTGAGCTTGCATAAGTAAATGTAAATCCTCCCTGAGAAATGATGTTTTTTTTTTTTGCAGAGACGTCCACCAGATGATGAGAGTAAGGGCAAGAAGAATCTTGTAAGTTACCTATGCTGCATGTTCAGAAAATGATTGTAAACCATATCAATCAGCATTTGTAATATCAATAGCCATTTTTTGAGATGATTGCCTTTTTTTTATGTGGCCTGCACTTTCTCATTTTACACACACACTCGCTCTATATATTCACATATATATATATCTATATATATATATATATATATATATATATATATATATATATATATATATATATATATATATCTATATATCTATATATATATATATATATATATATATATATATATATATATATATATATATATATATATATATATATATATATATATATATATGTGTGTGTGTGTGTGTGTGTGTGTGTGTGTGTGTGTGTGTGTGTGTGTGTGTGTGTGTGTGTGTGCAAATATTATATTGTTGCACATCCATATATTGGTCGAACGGGCCTTCTTCGAGACAATTTTGTTATAAATGCTTGTAATGCCAAATTATTTTTCTTTTTGTTTATAGATGAATGATCTTGAAGCTGAGCTGGAAAGAAGAACAGTTACGTACACTTTATGGAACCAGTCCATGGGAAATGCAGAAAACGAGGCATGGCATCCTTTTACATATAGCTATGCAGATGCAGGGCCTCAACAGATAAAAATAATAAAGGTTTATTAACGGCACCAGATAACTGTTACTAAAATTGACGATTTTTTAAATATATTTGCTGCTTGGTTTGACTTTCTGCTTATTCGTATATATTCAGGATATAGACAATGTATACTATGAAACGGAGTCCAGAAGAGAGTGGTGCAGTAATAACTCTACATCTGTTCCCTGTTTTGTATTTGCGAGGAAATTTTCTCAAGGAGCTGCCTTGCGCCTCTTAAGTCAAGGGATAGTCGGTAACTTTGATATCTCTGCATTAATGGATACACCGTGATTTTTTCCGGGTCATAATCATTAAAAATAGTGGTTGGTGTTATGCACAAATCGTGTGATAGTAACAATTAAAGATTACATCAAAGTAGAGAGAGTATTGTCTCTCAAAGTTTTGCATGTGTCACATTCATGTCAAAAAAAAAATAAGCATGATATATTATGACTTGGAGAAGATGATTGTATACAACATAGGTTAGTGAAAATAGTTTGAAGATATTATTCTTTGGAACGATTATTGGTAAATATTATCGAGTCTCGACACACACACACACACACAAACACACACACATGTATCTCTAGCTGCTGACGAAAGGGGATAGAGCAAATGGCAGCTGATAAGGTAATGTTAAAATTTTGTTGGTACATCTAAAATTACAGGAAAACAGGGCCAAGATAAAAATCAAGAAAGACATTGTGGAGGGATCTTTCAATTGAACCCTATTCCTAGTATTAGTATATGTTTTGTAATTTAATGCCATTGGTTGTAATCTATCTCTATCTCTATCCTATTATACACACATCACTAAGCTATAATATTGATTAATTAGGTAAAGTATGATTGATGTCTCTATCATGAAGATTATGAATATTCGGAATAGTTCGCGCAAGTGACCTGTGACGTTGAATCGTGCTTTAAGCAGAGCTGTGCAATTGCATAACAGCAGTTAATAATTAGCTGAGCAGATATGATGCACTAAACCATCGGATGTATGATTAGACGACAATTAGCTAGTATCTTAAATTCACATTTTTATATTTGAACACGTCGAAGAAGAAAAACGATATCCATCATATATATGCAGAAAAAGGGAAATCGGGATACAGGCCAAGAGCAACGTAGATGACTTCTATACAATGGCATGAAAAATTTGATGAACGGGTTAATAACTCTTTTTTCCCGTTCGGATGGATAATCTTACAAGATACATATATTGCTCTTCATCCAGGAAAAGAATACACAGTGGACCGGCCGGAAACTTCTTCACGTCATACACTCCACTATTTACTTGTGTCTTGCAAACCTTAGACAAAAAGAAGAAAAGAAAAAGAATTCGGACCATCTATACAGGAATCACATCTTCACTTTGACTCTCATCGGACGTTAAAACAAGGCCTTCGATGTATGTTGGGAGAAGGCAACAGGGCCAACGACAGCCTGTCGAGATAGGCTCTGTGGGTGGAACAATCATTAGTACATTATCATGGCGTCGAACCACTCCCATGATACTCACTGTACTTCCTTCTTTGATATAACTGCAATCAAATTAAAAATATAAATCATTGGAGAAACACTAAAATAAATATTTATAAAGAAAAGAGTTTCCGATATCAAGATTTCATGCATTGCTCTTGATAAAGAAACTGAACTTACATGATAGAGAGTTTATTTTATTTTAAAATTTCAGCGCTTGTATCAGCTGATTCTTAGGTGTGTTTCGCAGTTTATGATTTATACAAAGAGGGGGTAAAATTAAAAATGTCTTACCCTTCTTTAAGACGCATTATATTGTCGTCACTTGATAAACCCCGGTCAGAAAGCCAGCGTAGGAAGTTTGGAGACAATTTTTCGTTGTCTTTGGTGACATCAACTACTACAGTCGGTTTAACAAATGGGGCAACTTTAGCTCCATAGCCTGCTTTCACTAGAGCTCTTAAACCAGACTGGAAGTCTGATATATAAAAATCCGCAACAAAGTTCTGTTAACACAAGGAAAACAAAAGGGAGTGAGATACATCAATCGAGAAGTTATCCTTGTCAACTTTACAAAAGTCAACTTAAAAACATGCATGCAAAACATTACAAATTAAACCGATGTCACCAATCTTGTTAACTATATTGACCTCCAAAACACCAAGCAATGCTTATGCATCCTACAATCTGGAAGTGTAATAAGTTGGAATAAAAAGATTTTATCCGAATAATAAGTTGGAGGCATAACAACTGAAAAAAAAACAATTTATCCGAAAAGGTTCTGAAATGACAACTGAAATAAAACCCAAATTGCATTTGCAATATATATGGTCCATCACAGACAACTGAAATTACAGAAATTTTGTAAATTGGAATTAAAAATGGGATTAAACGTAACCATGAGTTGGATAAATAAACATGGATGTGGTGATAATTAGTTTGTTTATAAAAGTCTTATGCAACTAATATTTTACGGTCAGATGAAGCAGCCATATAATTCCTATCTGATTTAGTAACAAGTAACACAAGCTGACCTCTGAATATCTGCATCCCCAAGAGAAGAACCTTTGTTTAGCATTTGCTGGTTTTCCACCACAACCTCTATATTCGTATAATTCTGATGATGCATACACACATCTCGGTATCCTCTGAAAAGAAGATTCAAGAGGTATGCTGCCACAAGTCACAACCTACACATGACAATCCAACACGAATAAATAGAGTATAATTTGAGAAGAAAAAAAAAGGTATGAACAGAAATGAAATAATGCAAAAGAGGAAAAAAAAAAGTTTAGGGAAACAATTACTAAAGAATGAGAAAAGCCAAAGATTAAGATACAGGATGCCAGATTTATACTGGGCATTTCCACTCTTTTCTCCCTGTTAAAGTTTTCTGTTTAGTTTGATCATAAATTATGTCTATCGCTTCGCAGGTGGCATGTCCATTTTACGTCACTGAAAATTACGGCATGGAAGAACTACTAGCTTCATGCTTAATATTTGAACTGCTGAAATATTTCATGTGTCATCATGCCTTTATTACCCAGTACGAAACAAATATTGAAGGCTATACTTATCAGAACTATGTGCTACTTCTAGTGAAACCTAAATTACAGCATCCAAGATTTCGAACATCTCGTATAAAACAAGATATCCAATGAAATTCCTCATGTCTCTAGCTAGAACCTACCCAAAACCATGAACTCCCTAAATGAAAAAGGATATAGGAATTTCTCGCCCTGCTGACCTCCCGATTTCCCCCAATTTGTAATGAATTGTAACCATAGTTTGTTGAATCTCAAAACATCCTAAAATATACTATATAATGATTTCATCAGGTCCGCATAATTTTCAGTCCCAAAATGAAAAAAAGAGAAGCAGAGGAAGAAAAACAATTTTCTGATGACTACCATAAATAGTATGCAATCGAAACCAGAATCTAAGTTACTAGACCCTGCCCGGAAAGAATTAATTATCCAACATGTAATTAAGTACTTAAACTACCACCAAATCTCCAATTAACTAATACTATTTAACAATTGAGACTAGTCAAACCAAAAGGCAAGATAAAACAAGCCTGCAGGGCCAGGGGTTACTTACCCCAGTGACCTTTACGAACTGGCCATCTATGGCGCCCCTCAGCTCGGCATCCGGATACTTCTTCAAGAATCCCAAGACCCCGTGTTTTCGGTACGCGTAATTCCATATCAAGATCATCACAGCAGGCACCAGCACCGCCACAACCGCCACCAGAATCACCGGCTTCTTCACTGCGGCCATGAGAAACGCCCCCACCACCAGCCCCATCACCACCACTACCAAACACACCCACATTGCCACCCTCGAAACCCTAAACCCTAATCTCACCTCCTCCCCCAGGCTGGTAACGGCAGAGCCGTAAGTAGCCTTGTTGAACGAGCTCGGAGCGGACGCTGTGTTATCCAGCTGCCCGGACCTACGATTCGAGCTGGACGTGCCCAGCGGGCCCGAGGTGATGAGTCCGGTGGGCTGAATCGGCGTCATCGGCCCGGAGAATGAAGAAGACGACGATCTTTTGCTCATAGGCCCGGAGCCAGTGTTTTTTGGGCCAACAGGGCCGGAATTCGGGCCGGATCTCGCAGATCCACTGTTGTGCTGAGAAGACGAGGGTGGTCGCGAGGGGAGCTTAGGCGGGCCGCCGGTTGGTGGGTGGTGGTGGTGGTGGTCCCCTCCGGAGAGGTCGACGCCGTACATTTTGCCTAGCTCCCCGGACCTCTTGACGTCGCCGCCGGTATAGGGAACGGCGCGTGACGCCATTGTCGGCTGCCGCTCTTTGAGCTGCTGCTCGGGTCGACCCGACACAATAAGCCCGTTGCTCAGCTGGTGCGACCCGGTTCGAGTACCCATTTCACTTGATTTCTTCAGAGAGAGGAAATGGGGGAGTGTGTGAATGCACAATGTGCAGCAGCAGAGAGAGAAAGTAAAGCTTTTTTAGTGGGGGGGGGGGGGGGAGGAGTGAGAGAGAGAGAGTGTAGGTGGGAAGTTGAAGGGAGTGGATGTCGGGGAAGGCTGTGAATGACGAAAAGGCCCTTCTTAGGGATAGTGAAAAGACGACTTTGCCCTTTGTCTCTGTGTTCGGGGTACAGTTTGCTCTGTAACTTGCTGTCAGTGCTGTGTGTTGGGATTCGCAGAGTCGGTTAAATCGAGTGACGTCACTCTCCTCTCACTGCTAATTATTCGAAATTATTTTTCAAATTACTTATAATTAATAAATTAATAATAATTAAATTCACTTGACAGTTCATAATTTCATATTAATTCGAATCATTTACTATTTGCTACAGCTTTAAGTGGATACACATCGTAGTCAAGTAAGTCTACATCATTTGATTATTGAAATTAGCACTAATACAATGATTAGCAAATTGTTAAGGGTACTTTAATCAAAGCAATATTTATTTATTATTAGTATAAGTTCTCTTACATCACGCGAATCAAATTTCAAATCATAAAATAATCCATTTCTAGCATTGATTCGTTTTTGCCAACAAACCCTTGATTTAATGTTTTAAATAGGTGCCAAAATCTTCATTTTATAAATTATAATTATAAAGAGTATAAAACAGTGGATTATTACATAATTTGATATTTATTTAGTTAAATATTTTTTTTCAGCTCGAAATTATAGAAAAAAAAATACTTACTTTTTCATTGATTAAGAAATTGTATATTCGTTAATTTACTGTATCGGTCTATATTTTATCTTGACTATTTTATTTTCGACGAATCATATCAAATCATTTGACTTTGAAAAAAAAAGAGAAGGAAAAAAAAGCAATTATTCTTTCTTAATATAGTAATGCAGTGATTCCTTTCACAATTGCCATATATAATCTTGATTAAACTACAGACATTTAATTAATTAAAATGATGAAAAGAAAATTAATCATTGGTGAAACATTAAACGCGAATATACTATAATGACGTGGCAGTATTAAACTATGATGGGAGTGGCTGATTAATTAGGACAAATCACGATTAGTTTATGTATTTAGATTGAGAAAGCAAAAGACCACCTACTTTCCTTGTACGTTAGATCTGAAAGTGATTGTAACAACTTCAAACTTACAAAAAAAAAAAAAAAGCCCTTAAGTACCACCAACTAATAAGAATTTAAAAAATAAAATAGATTATTACATTTATTTTTTTCGAAAATTATGGACATATTTTGAGTATCCTATATTTTGGATTTTACCCTACTTATACGTACTATGTTGAAATTATATGAATCTGATATTAAATTTAATGAGACTTACATGCATTTTTTTTAAAATAAAATAAAAGAAATTGAACTTTTGATCTAATATTAATCTATAAAGTCATTAGCACTAAGACGATGCCTTCAATAATTGTTATAAATAAGTAGTTATTTATGATCATTGATTGTGTTTATGATGTGATTGACTAAGGCCTAATTAATCAAGCTCATTAAGACCAAGCCCATTAAATCACACCAAGGTGTAATGAAGTCCAATACAATCATTCATGCCTAGGTAAGCTATTGTTGGCTACTCTTTTGAATATTGCATAAGATTCTTAGGGCACCAAACTGAATAAACTAGTATAAATAATAATACTGAAATGTTAAATGTCGTTTCAGTTTTACTAATACTATTTTGACTTCGAACCTGATTTTGACATATTTCTATTTTGATTTTGGCAAAATTCGAAACACAAAAACTGTAGTCATTTGGGTTAGTTTTCTAATTCAACTTAAATCCGCTAGATTGGATGCCGTGTGACAAAGTTATGCATGAATGAGGCACATTTTGAATTTTAGATACCCCAATACATCAAAGTTGTGGGCAGTATCCATTGATTCATGTATATCTTTCTCGTCTGACATCCAATTTTGGTGATTTAAGTTGGATTAAAAAACTAACTCAGAATACTACAAATCCTATTTTTCGGGTTTTACAAAATTTGGAATAAAAAATAATCAAAATCATGTTTGAAGTAAAAAACGGTATTATTAAAACTCGAACGACGTTTATCACATCTCATAATAATGTATATATGAAAAGGGATTAAAGATTACGGATTATATACGAATTATGGATAGAAAAATAGAGAGAGAACAAACAGTAGTAACTCTAACATGGAATTGTTATTGTTCAGCAACGGCTCAATCTCCAATAATTCAATACACGTCCAGAAATTCAAATGGTTGTGACAACTCTAGTATAGTAGTTTTAATAATCATATTTTGAAAAGAATATGTATTATTTTAGATATTAAATTATTTAAGCATTCAATAAACATGTAGGCATCCCTTCCACCACTGCAAAAGGGAATAGTTCATTTTCAAATATATATATGTACTTATCATTTTTTTTTTGAGAAGAATATGTACACATCATTATATTTATATATAAACAAATATGTGTTTAGTCAATTTGTGATTTTAGATTGGTACTAAACATCATGGGTTTGGTCAATATGCTATGTCAATTCGTGTTAAATAATTCATAATCTCACAATTAAAAAAATATAAAAATATAAAATAAATAAAAATAAAAACTCATCTCACGTCATTGCCCAAAGGGATTTTATAAATAAATATATATAGTGTGGGGCCCACAACGAGATTGGCCGACACAAGATAATCACTAGAAACAAAGACAATGAAACTCCAATTGAATGACAACTAACTATAGAGAAATGGAGGAATTGAATTATGAGATACAACAGGAGCTGTCTCTATTCATCTCCATAAGTACTATAAATACTAAACTCGACGGTGCTTCATTTAATTATTTCACCTAATTTATAGAACTCTAAAATAATTCCAAACCAACATAAAAGCCCAAATACATGGGCTGGCCCAATTAAAAGTCATTTCAGTATTTTACTAGTAAAGGACTCAGGTGTTAGCCCACATATAGATTAGGATCCAATATAAAAGTATATATACAAGTTGTATAACTAAAGTATTTCTGATTTTAATTTATTATTTTATTTGAATATAATTTAATTAAAAAATATGTAAACTTCTTATTAATTCAAATAAATATATAACATGATATATAATTTCGAAGTATTTTACGGATCTGCGTTAGAAATTAGTGCGCAAATTTACGACATTCTTCAAGTGTATTGTAATTTTACTAAACGTTCCACTTTTGACCTTTGACCAAATTCAAACAAACCAGGTTTTCCTAAAAAACTACGTGTACTGTGTTGAAACGCGAGTCACTGCAAAATATTGACCGAGTCATGTAATCTCACATCAGTAAATTGTCTGATACACACACGCGAAGGACAATTATTCAACAAAAGTACTTAGGAGGAAATTGTTTTAAGGACAATACATACTTAGAACCAAAAGTAGATATGTTATATCTAATTAAATAAATTGGGTTGTTAATTGTTATTAGCAAATTAAAGGTTTTGAGTCACTGTCTATTCAGAAACGACAAAAAATGTTAGTTGAAGTTCAAATATAAATTATTGACTTACTTAGAGTTATTCCCACCAAAATTTACTCATGCTTACTCATGTTGAATTATTCAACCCTCTTAAGGTATGAAAAAGGCTGCCTAATATGTGACAAATGTAATTAAATATATAATTATCATCATCATAATATATATAAAATAAAAATGTAAATAATGGTAGGAGATGAGTATGAAGTGGGGCCCACCTGCAAAAAGGAGTGCAATAAATGTAAATTTTCCCATAATAGCCAAACTGCACTAGACAGTGCAATATTATGGAAAGTGATTTCACATAAACCACAGCCCATGGTCCAACCAATTTTCACCCCTTTTCATCCAATCACCACTCCTGCTTTCTTTCTTTCCTCAATTTTACTTTGATATTATAAAAAAATCGATTAATTTGAAATACCACCTTAAGCTCAATTTGTTTGTCACTATTAAACTTTATTGACTAGATAATAAAAGTTAGTGACATGATTATAGTTGGATTATAGATTTTATTGAAAAATCATATCTTATAGTAGGGAAAATTGGCTAAAACTTCCAAAAAATATTGCGTATACCTAATAGTCTGTCACTCTGCCCTAATATTTTGAATATGCTTAAAGTCCCTTGGGACAACTTAGACTAGTAATAGACAATTTAGACTGAAAAATTGGCAATTTAGTTGAAGAAATTAGACTAAAAAACAAACATCTTAGATTTAACGAACTTTTTTCCAATGATGTGTGACAAAAATTAGGCGGTCGGCAGCATGGAACTAGTAGTTAGAGGGGGAATAGTGGAAGAATGCTATCTTTGGAGTGGATACGGTTTTGAAGACAATAACTTTGAGGATAATAAGGTATTCTTTGAATAATAAGCTCTCTAACTAAGCTACTCAATATTTTTTAGCAAAATACGAAAAATATGACTCTCCTAATTTTTAGTGTTCGAAGGTGTTTAGCAGATTACCCCTTAAGAGCATTAATTTAGTGTTGTACATACATTGTAAAAGAAAAATAAATAACTAAAGCACAACTAAATTGAAAAATTAAAATGACAAGATTGAGGCAAATAAAACACAATAATAAAGATAATATATAGTATTATTTTCAATACCCGATGAGGGAACACACACACTCTTGGTAAGAGTCCAATTAACTTGTGGAAAGAATAGATACCCTTTTTTTTTTATTTTAGGGAAAAACAGAAAAATTTGTTGGGCACAAGTTTTTTTCGTCTCTTTTATCGAAACAATCAAATGTCGCATTTCCCATTGACACTTTTTAATCAGATTGATTAATTTCCCTCCTCTTCTTCTTCTTTTCAATTTTTTGAGATTAGATTAGTGATGATTATGACCAGTATTATCGCAACAAAGTGCTCATTCGCCTAATCTTTTCCAAACCTTTTTCAGTTTTGGTAATAAACTATACTCTTTTTTATTTTCTTTTTTGAAAAAGTTAATAAACAAAACACCATCCCATCCACAAAAACAGGGGCCCTTTTTTTTTATCAAACCATGAATCTTAGATTTCGTATGCTAAAATGTTAAATATTGTTTGCAATTTACTAATATCGTTTTGACCTAAAATGAGATTTTGAAAACTTATCTGATTTTGGAAAAATACAAAACACGAAAACTGTAGCCCTTTGTGTTAGCTTTCTAATTCAACCTAAGTCAGCTAATTTGTATGTCGGATCACAAAGTTATGCATGAATGAATTACGTTTTGAATTATAGATGACTTCAATTTGCTTATTCAAATTAAAAAATGATCAAAATTACGTTTGAAGTTGAAACATTATTATTAGAACTGAAACGACATTTATCGCATCCCTTAAGTACATGTATATACATATTATTGGTTTATTTTTTTCTTTTTCTTTTTTTTTTTGAACTTTAAGTAGAGTCTATATATGTAGTCTTTATTATATATTTGCAGTAGGAAGAAATTTTTCTCGGTCAAAATTTGTTCTTTCGGCACTAAGCTCCCTTTTAGTAGACCTCCTATATTGTCTACATTTGAGCCGCACTCTTTGTTCAAATCAATTTTACATTACCAATGTCACTCCCAAACGAATTGAGCTAGCGAGTGTGACCTAATTCAATCCCTCTTGAATTTCAAAAAAAATTCTTCATATATTTCAAGATTTGACCAATATATCGCACTATTACTCGAGAGCATGATTTACCCACAGCACATTAACAACCCAGAAAAAAAATCGGAATCGAAGTTTCATTCCGATAATGTAGTGTAAGTTTGTGAAATAGTAATCAAGTGGTACAAAATTGCGATATAAAAGAGATGAGTCGGACAATGGAAAAACCGGGGACTCATCGAAGAGTACAAATGAGTTACGGGTAGAAAACAAAGAATAAACAGTGATGGCTTTTCTTGTTTGTACATAGAACAAGATAAAAGGCAAAGGCGAAGACGAAGATACGAACAAACTACACACGCTTTCAACGGGGGACTCAATTCACAATTATACCCTTCCAAGAAATGGCCACACTCATAAATGAATCAATCATCAATCCGCAATTAAGGATTAAACCTATAATTAGGTAGATAGTACTTTGCTGGTACTAAAGTAACACCTCAAAAACTAAACAAGAACCAAAAATTTTGAATCCCTAAGAAATTGCAGAAAAGCTTATAGAGGAAAGATTAGTGGCACATTGTAATTTACATTGAGATGAGGGTGTGGTTCTAAATTTCAACAAACAGATTTAAATTGCTGCAAAAAAAATAAAATTTTGAAGAGTAAAAACTAAACCAACCTTCTTCCATTTTTTTTTTCAGCCCCAAACACTCCAAATTCTCTCCCCAAGAAAACTAACCAACCTCCTCACGGAGCCCTTCTCCAATTCCTCCTCCTCCTCATTTTCATCCTCATCTCCGCCGCTGGAAGCACCGGCGGCGGCGGCGTCCGCCGACGAGTTTGACTCGCTGAAATCAAAATCATCCTTGGTCAAAATTAGGTCAGAGTTCTTGGGGGCATCATCCAGTACAGGACAAATACTATTATGCCCTTTGACCATAGTGGTGGTGGTGGTGCTGCTTTTGTTGCCCTTTCTTCTCTCCTTGTTCTTCTCTCTCTTATTCTTCTTGTTCAAAACGCTGTCTTCAAATGCATCGATTACCTCGTGTATGAGCTGCCGGTTCGGGGACGAGTCCCACTTCACCCAATAGCTCATGTAGCAACGGAAGCAGTTGCAGCTGAAGCACGGCGGGTGGTCGTCGCCGCTCTTTGAGCCGCCTCCACCGGCGGCGGGGGGTTTCTGGGTGGTGGTGGTGGTGGTCTTGCGGTGGGTGTTGGAGAAGCTGGCGGAGGAGGAGCAGGATATGAGGTAGGCCAAAACCTCCCTGTCTGCCGGCGACAGAGCTACGGTCAGAGTCAGTATCGCCGCCGGCAAAAAAGAAAGCAGATGCTCTGAAACAACCGACGGCGTGGGGTGGACCGTACTTTTCCGATAAAGCTTTTTCATAGCTGATGAATAGTTTAGGTTTACAAAATGGAGAGAGAGGAGAGAGAAAGAGAGAGAGAGAGAAGGGATATTATTGATGGATGAAGTCTTTGATGCTTGGGCATAGAAATTGGCGACGTATATTTTGGGTGTTGGGGGGAGTGATCACATGCGACGCAGGAGTTTATGTAGGGGCATTTGGTGAACGGTGATTTAGGGGAAAGGATGGAATTTGATTGGTGAGTGAGCAGAGCAAATGAGGCGATGTGTTTTTGTGTGGGCCCCACGGAGAATCTCTTGGTCATATCTTCTTTTTTCACAAATTCTCTCTCCTCTGTCTGTTTCACCGCAACATCTCTGCAAATTTCAAGGACAACCTCGAACTTTGGGCCTCATCACCCACAAACTAATTTTTGGGCCCTTTTCATCAGCCCAAAAGATACAACGCATGTATTTTTAAGTAGGGTTTAAAATTGAAAGGGTGGTGATATACGCAGGCCAAATTAAACATTCAGGCACTTTTTTACCATGATTTTTTACCTTTTTACCATAACTATTTACCTTTTGTACTATTCCTACCCAATTAAAAATAAAAAAAAAAAAAAAAAAAAAAAATTAAATTTTTGTGCTCGTGCAAAAACACACGAGCATTTCAACAGTGCTCATCTGATTTCACACGAGCACTGTTGAAATGCTCGCATGTTTTTGCACGAGCATCTTATAAATCAAAAAAAATAAAAAAAAATAATAAAAATGCCTGCTCGTGTGGATTTACACGAGCACAGTGGATGCGCTCGTGTAAATTCACACGAGCAGGCCAACGTGTGATTTTTTTCGTTTTTTTTTTCCGGATTCGTAATCTACATAACAAGAGGATCGTAAAAACGTAAAAATTACCTCCGATCTGTTGACGATTTGCACGGGCTTTGCGAAAGAAAATCGAAAGGTTGAGAGAGTTTTGAGTTTTTTTACTTTTTGTTTTTTGAAAAATGGTAAAAAATGTGCCTGAATGTTTAATTTTGGCCTGCACAAATCATTTCAGAAATTGAAACGTAGTTTTCGAATCCCGTCGAATTCGATTCGAATTTCTATAAGTTAATTGCGGGTTCCTTCATTGACGAAAAAATAAATAAAAGAAATTAATAGTAGTGTAAACGTTTTTAGCAATTCAAAATAAGAAATACAACATTGAGGGGTTATTATGCTAATAAAAACAATACAATGGAAGTTTTGCAATTAACTCTAAGTTGGTAAAAAGGTGTCACAAATACTAATTCACCACCATGGACGAGGCAGCATATTTATAAATCAGAAGAATACATACAATGCACTGGAGATGCCTTAAACAATTTCAGCCCGCACGATGCGGGGCGGGCTAATCTGGACCCTCAAGATGAACTCTGAATATGGGAACTGATCCATTCTTCAAGATCAAAAAGCTCAGCATCACTTATCGAATGAGCAAGACCAGGGTAAGCCTGAAAACAAAAAACCCCATCAACCGAATTTCAATTAAATTCGCCAATATTTAATAAAAATCGACAGCTTAATTTCGTGTATAATATAATATGAAGGAGGAGACTAATAAATATACCTTGAATTCACACTTCACACCAGCCTTTTCAAGAAACGGTGGACCTGCTTGTCCAGCTTCGAATAGTACGGTTCGGTCAGCCATTCCGTGGTACCACAAGAAAGGTGTCTGTATGCAAACATAAATTCCCCAATATTGAATTCTTTTACACAAGAAAATATAAATTGGAACTAGTGTAGATGTAATTATATCTAGGTTAGCAATAAAGAGGTGACATTTAATAAGGTATAAATGAGTTGCACTTAATTAGTATAAGACTTTCTAACAGTCAAAATGGAAGAAGTTGCACAAAACAGGAAGATATCACATTGAATTAGATAGCAGAGCTGATGAATTGCAGTTTCATTACTGCTAACAGGATTCGTATGTAGGGTCAGAAAAGTAATTTTCTGCAACTTGATAGCAACATGCAGTTGTGCTTTGATTATTACTGTTGAAGAGGTTCTAGCAAACGAAAATAAGGTTTTATTTTTTTATTGATACTTTCAGTTAAATGAGACTCGTGCTCCGGCTTGAAAAAAATTGTTTGCAGATTAGCCAAATGATATTGCCGATTAATAGAAACGTCATGCAGCTGTAGCATGAAATTAAATACGCTAGAGAAGAAAAAATGATAATAACTGAGCAAGAAATAACCTTTTTCGCGTCTGGTGTAACCCGTTCAAGAATTGAGGAACTAAACGGAACCCATCCACTAAATACTGCACCTCCGCCCAGAGTTTGTGGATACAGCAGAACACTGGCCAATGTCAAGGCACCTGCGTAAGAAAAAAATTAAAAAAAAACATTTTATAATTACCTGAAGAATCAACTACAACCAGACATGCTTCGTTAGAATTTAGGTAAATTAGTTGTTTCCTATGAGAGAATAGACATATTGACTGACCTCCTTGACTGAATCCACACACGAAGATATTTTTAGGGTTGGTTCCAGCTGCTATCTCTTTGTCTATTGTCGCGTGGACTTTCTGAACTGCTTTGAGAACACTACTTTCATCGTTCGGAGAAGTCTGTTACATGAGTGTCATTTATATTATTTTGATAAACTCAACATATAGTATAGTTATTTCATATCCAAGTTATGAACAAATGCATGAATGGGCATTTATGCAGGGGAATTTAATTTTGGAAGACTATCATGCGCACAAAGTGGCAGGTGAGGGCCAATATATGGCTGTAAAAAGAATCACTCTCATCGTCACATTTAACTACTAAATGCCCGTGCAACATTAATACTTACGTACATGCTTGTAAAATTTTATGCATAGTTACACGAGTTATTAGAAGAGCCTGGTCAATTTTATTTGAGTTCAAATTTCCAATTGTGAAATCAATGTTGCCTTTGCAATGTGAAATCAAACAACTCATCAAAATCAAGAACGAAGCTAAAAAACACAACTTAGATGCATAAAATAAATGAAAAGAAAAACCACAAACTTGAAATTGTACATATAAAGGGAATCAGATCTCACAGCTGTCACAGGTATCTCGTGAATGTCAAACCAGGAAGGCATCATAGCACCATCTACAATATATTCAAATTAACAAACAGCAACGTGATGCACAGAACAGGCAGATTTTATTTGAAAAGCGGCAACACGAAAGAAAATGACACAATCAGCCCATTTATACCGTCAATACATTCATTTCCCTAAGTTGCATCACGGATCACTTGAACACTCAATGTTAGTATAGCAAGAGTTCAAAACTTAAATCATTTACTATTGGGGTGAAACCAAAAAACAAAGGTCATAGCCATGTTAGTTAAGCATGAAGAGATTTAAATCTTTTTTCATAAGTGAAGTCGAACATTATTCAGAAGAGAAGAAAGGCAAGCTAAGAATAAAGCCCCATTGGAACTAGGATCAATAATTAGTACAGGAACATAAAAGTGTGAAAGATCTAGAGCACCGCATCTAAGATGGGTAATTTTATTCATATTAAGAAGTACACCAAAATATAATAAGCTCTCTCACGACTTATTTGAACGAACACCAATGATTTTACTGTACCAAGACTTCTCAAATTAGATATTCCAGATAATGCTAGTCTTTTTTGGTTAGTACGATTTGGGAAACAACCGATTCAGAGTTTAAACGTCTCAAACTAGTACTACTAGGCCACTTTAAAATTCCACCATAATGACTATACGAGAAACTCAAACTTGATGCTAAAACATTTGAAACTCAATCGGGAAAAAAGATAGCTCCCAAATTCAGTCAAAATGCAACAATCGAAGACAGCATTAGTTTTCGTTCCTGTGCAATTAACTTTTTTGTTTTCTACATTTATCAATTCCTTCTTCCTGGATTTGCCAAACACAAATACGACTACAAAGATGCAGAACAACCTACATTACCAAATCAAAATCGGTCGCGATGAATATGATATCCCGTAAAAAAACAACAAACAGCTAAAACGACGTCGTTTCAGATTCGAGATCGAGATAATTCAATCGAAGTTTTGAAATTAGTGACTTACAATTGCAGGTGACAGGATTAGAAGGGGCGGAAGGGAAGGACCAGTTGGTGTTGCTGAAATCGGGTGAAGCGAAAAACGTCTTGATTGGTTCGTTAGCGGGGCCCGAATCGCCCAACCCATGCAACCACAGTACGAAGCTCCGTGCCATCGGGTCGGGTTTCGTCTTAGTCGGAGTCGAGCTTGGGGAATTGAGAAGCACGAAGGAAATAGTGAGACCGAAGGTTACAGCGAACAGCAATATTATTGACTTCATTTTTAACTCTCACATCACGCCGTCTTTATACGATTCTATTTGGCAGTCCCGATTAGCGTTTTCTGTTAAGTTCGGGAAATAACGCTTCTGTATTAGGGATCTTGCCATATTAAAGGAGTTGCTACTTCCGACTCCCATCAATTATGAATCTTCTTATATGTCCAGTGTCAAATTTAGTAGAATTTTTCAAATTATGTGGACTATTCTTCATTTTGTACCTGTTTTATCTTGTTCGAGCTACACATTTTGAAACATGATGATCATAAAATGTATCTCTAGGCTTGTGAATATCATATTGTGGTGCATCAGAAACTGCATTTTTGTTCAGGACGAGTACAAACTAGAAGAATATGTTGAATTTAATTCATAAGGATGTACATGTAAGAAGATTTATAGTCAAAAGGGCTGATTGTAACTACCTAACACATGATATTTTTTTTTATAATTTAACCTTACAGCAGGGGAATACCGTAATTTATCCATGAATAAATTATTTTATTTACCTTAATATACAGGTAGGTCATTTGTCAGAACAAATGAAAAATATGAATAACTTTTGTTTAAGGGAAAATTGGCCTTATAATTAACTACTGAGACATACTCAAAAGGAATTGAACTCTCTTCACAAGGATAATTTGTTCGTTTTTTTAACCACATGAATATCTGATAATCTAATTAAGTATAACAAATTTCGATTAGGAATTTTAAGGATTTTCTTTTAAATTACCTAGAAAATTAGTAACAACTGTTGACAGGTGGCAATAATTCCAATGTCCTAAATCAGCTTTTCCACGGTCTCCTGTTGACTTTGCCATTGTTGTAAAACAGAAAGCCGCATTAATCAACTCTTCATCTATGTGCCACAATAATAGCTTACATAATCATAAGCTTGTGAGTTGTGATTTGTGACAACAACTTCAATTAAGTGCAATCATGTCTGATTGCCTAAAATTGAATGAAAACCAAAGCCATTAAATTCTGGCATTAGCAATTCATATAGCCTCTGGCTTTTTAGCAACTAATTTCTCACCTCAAATGGACATCAAACCCATGTATATATATATATATACACAACCACATGACATTTGTCCACACTTTCAAGAATCGTGCTCGTCGATTCTATTTAATTTTCTACCATCAGCATCGAGCTGTCACCAGTTCAAAAACACAAAAAATCTCGGCAAGTCCTTAGCTTGCGAGTCTTTATATATTCGAACCCCATTTGCGAGATAGTATTCGGAATATCTCAAGGCAATGGCTAACCAAAAAGTCATCGGCGTCATTCTTCGCGTCCTGTTAATATCCGCCATTGTTCTTGAAGCAGCAGAATCAAGATTCCTCACCTACGATGCCCTGAAAAGAGGAGATCCAACAAATGTACCAGAGAATGAAAGATGTCCACCAACTGAAGCGTCGAGCATTCACAGAAACAGCCGAAAGATGGCCGGTGCAGAAATGAAATCAGATGAGTTACTAGCGTTAGATAAGCATATCAGAGAAAATTTTGCTTAAGCAAAATTAGATCATGTAAAAGATCGTCATTTTCTGCAGCGAATAAGAATTATATCTAGCAGATCCGGGATATTGATTGGGTTTTTTTTCAGATATTTATTATGAGTTGTTGTGTCAACATTTTATCGATCATAAACATTGAATACTCAAAACAGACATCATAAATGGAGATGGATTCGAATAGCAACGGGAAATTGGGATAGAAAGACCATTAAGCGAAACGAAATTCAAAATGAACTCAAAAATAAATTTTCATACATTTTCTTCAGTAGCACGCTTTCTATTTCACATAGCATCTTCCCAATTTGATGCTTTATTTCACCAAGCCGTGCGGCGATGAACTCTAGTTTCTCCCAAGGAATCTCGTTTGATATTCTTGGAAGATAGCGGCACTTCTCAAACGGACGATACTCGTATATGCTTTTAATTTCTTCGTGTCCTATTCAAACAAACCAGAAAATAAACGTCGAAACACCCCTAATATCCGAAAATCTCTAAATTGCAGGAAACTAAGAAAAATCCGATTTTTTTTTTTTAAATATCCCCCAACATTGCAATTATACACAATAGCTTGAAAGTGACAGAAGAGACCTGGGCTAATTGCTTGAAGTCACTGAAATGGCTGCTTAAAAGATCATGTGTGGGCCCACTAGGGTTTGCCATTTCTTCCATTACCTCGTAGGCTAGCTCTGCTAACCTCGTTGTTCTCTGTAAACACGAAGAACATTACATATCTATATGTACTTGTATAAATTGGATTAATAAGCAATGTTTTTGAGGAAATTTTAAGCAATGTTTAGCCCCTTTTGGAATTCTTCGCACACTTCGCTCAAAATGAAATTGAAATTAAGATTTTCAAAATTGGCTTCAGAAATTTGGGGGAAATAAAATTTGAAAAGCTACCTTTTCGAGGTTTTGGAGCCGCTGCGTAGGAGTGGTCTGGCTACGTGAATACATGGCGGCGGATCGCGTTCTACGGCGTCGTATTAAGGAAAACTCGTTCACTTTCCCTTGTTCAGCTTCTCCCTCCAATATTACATTAATCCATAAATTAATTTACTCACTTAATTTCATCGCATAATTCCTACATCAATAAAAGGATTCATTGACCATTGTATAGTGTGAGAGAAAGAGAGAGAATTAATTTAATCAACGCAAGAGAAAAAAAAGAAAAGAAAAAGTCAGCCACCAAGATGTAGGATATAAATATCCAACTGGTGGTGCACTGGTCCACTCTACCTACAATAAATAAACTTTAGTATAGTGTGACCAAAAATAATAGTCGTAGCCGCAAAATTATACTTTTCGTCCTTTTAAGTTGGTCTGAAATTCACATTTGACCCCTAATATTCATAAAATATATATTTAGTACTTTATATTTTTATAATTAATATTTTTGGTTTTTCGTCAATTTTATATTAGCATTAACGGGATAAATTATGTGTCCATCACTCTTTAAAATGATAGACTAAAGTTAAATTAATTGAAATGACCAAAAGGGTCAAACTTTTGAAGTATAAGGGACCAAATGTGTTTTGTTTGTAAATATAAGGACCAAGTATAAAACATCTGCAGATTTGAGGGGCGAAAACTGTAATTTCCCCAACAAAGGCCCGTATCCGTCTTCGTTGAAAGTGGCCCATTTCACAGAAAACTCCCAACAGAGAAAGAGAGAGAGAGAGAGAGAGATTCAATGGCGACATCGAAGCTGCAAGCACTATGGAATCACCCTGCTGGCCCTAAAACCAGTGAGTTGCATTTATATTCCCTCTTTTTTGGGTTTCAGTATGCGTTCTGATTCAGTTTTGTTCTCCGTCAACAATAGGTAGATACATATTGTGTTTTCTTAGATTCAGATCCTAGTTTTCAATCCAATCATATACGTAATCCTGTAGAAAAAAACTGATTTCTTTGCGGAATTATTGCTTCTTCTTTTTTTTTTTTTTTTTTTTTTTCTGGCTGGTGCGCGATTATGTACACTCATTTATGGATGTGATTGTGAAAAAAATTGCATTTTTCGAAAAAATATTATTGGATTTCGTTTCAATTTTCAATTCCCCCGGCCCTGCTCAGAAGATTCATGGTGTGTGCAGTGCGAATTTATCTGTAAAGCTGATCAGGGATTGTAATGAATCGACGACTCTCATCAATCATCATACAATGTGTAGTTACTGAGATTCAGGGGTGTTAATTCTGATATATAATCAACTTTCTGTCTGATTTATTAATAATACATTCAGCTGTTGGCTATCAGAATCGAAAGTAAACATTATTCCTGAGAAAAAAAAAATCTACTTCCGTAACATGATTCTCTCCTCGAACACACCGGTGAAGTTGTAAATCTTGGCATAGAACATGTAAAATATAATTAGATCGCGAAAAATCTCTATTTAGAAAATCGTTGAGCTTCCTTCTGTATATAGTTCTTCCGAGTTATAGTCTTTCGTTTTTAATCTACATTTGTTACTCGGGGTGCATAATCAAATGTATCTGCAAATTTGAGTTTGCTTCATGTTATCTTCTGATGAGAATCACCTTGAGTTTTGTTCACAGCCTGAATTGATTTTGCAATTTTTCGGTAGATGACTTTTCCTTTTTATGTTATAGTTCATTTTTGGGCGCCGACCTTCAAGTGGGGCATTAGCATAGCCAATCTTGCCGACTCTCTTAAACCCCCGGAGAAAGTTTCATATCCCCAGCAGATTGGTGAGTGATGCTCGATGATCTCTTAACTCTCAATTTTCTTAAATGGCCCTGATGTTTCTTTCACGGGCTTGCTAATATGAGAAAAAAATGCATCTGTTATAACATATGTTTACGTGATACGTGAATCCAACAATTTAGTTTCCCATTTTTTTCTTTCTGCATAAGCAGGAAAACTTTTTTTCTTAAGTCTTTCATGGAACTGAGTTTTCTTACGCCTACAAAATTTGTTTTGCAGCTGTTACAGCAACCGGTGTCATCTGGTCGCGCTACAGCACCGTTATTACTCCCGTAAGTTCAATTGTTGCTAAAAATATTCTTCGGCTGTAAATGTTTGTTTTTGTACGATGGAAGTAAAAACATCATTACACAATCCTTTAAACCGACACTGAAAAGATGTGGAGGAAAGTCGGTTTAAACATCATTATTCACTGCATAAGCCCGGAATTTCACAATCCTGAACCATCTAACCGTGTTCGCTTTCTATTCTTGAATATGCAGAAAAACTGGAATCTTTTCAGTGTTAACATTGTAATGGCTGGTACTGGAATTTACCAGCTTTCCCGAAAAATCAGGTGGGTCTTCCGATTGTATTAACACATGGTCTCTCGTTTCAATATTTTCTGTCAAATGAAGCTTGCCAATAATATTATAAATCGTTTTTATTCTAACAGGCACGACTACTTCAATGAGGAGGAGAAGGCTGTTGTGGCGAAAGAATAATGACGAAAAGTCACGTTGCTGTTTATTACGTTGTAGTAGATTCGATTTCCCTGATTGCCTTTTACCATGGTTTTTTTTTTCCTTTTTTTTCCCTTTATTTTCTTTTCGTATTTATCCTCCAGTCACACTGATCTTGGATCATCAAATGTATTCTTGAGAATGACTGAAAATAATTTATGAATCTCTTGTCCTATTTCAAAACATCAAATGTATTCTTGAGAATGACTGAAAATAATTTATGAATCTCTTGTCCTATTTCAAAACTCGGATGCAAATTTGAAGTATACCACCATGAGCGACGTGTTGTGGAATTTGATGTTCTCTTCCTTTGATAATGGTTAAAATAAAATTATCACATGATCGTTGCCAATTTAATTGTTATTGAAGATGAATTTGCTCGATTGCGAAAAAAGAAAAAGGAAAAAAGTTGAAGGATAGTTTTAGAAGATTCCAGACTATAAACTACTGTAAAGAGAGGAAAAATGCAGTATTGAGCACCATTAGCTCTAATAATATAAGCCGAAGAACAAACTGAGTTTGTTTCGAAGGCTAACAATCCTTTAAACAGTTTACTCACTCATACTAGCTGGTCGTCTTTATCTTGATCCGATTCGCTTTCTCTCTCATGAGCCTTCAACCCCAAACTCAAATCCAACGTGCTTTCGTTCAGATCTTGCCTTTCAACTGGATTATTCTCTGGAGACTGAAACCAATAACGGCTTTTAAATAAATTTGAAAATGCAATAAACGAAAAGGAGAGGAGTGCAATATGCTATTACAAACACCTTTTCGGAGTTTAAAAGGTTTTGTAAGCACTCGATTAGGTAGTAAATTGTTCTAAGAATCACCTGGCTCGCGTCCATAGGTACATCGTTGATGTCGGGTTTTTCATCATTTACATCACTCTTGGAGGTCGCCTCGTTTGTGTTAGCCTCGATTTCGATTGGCTTAGCTTCTTCCTCAATCTGCTCTGATGACTCATTGTTTTGTTCTTCAAGCACAGCAATCTATCAAAATTCAAAACCATTCCACAATTAAAAAAGAAGAAGGTGATCCCCAAATTTTCAAAATTATTGTTACTGAATTAAAAGCCCTAAACCACATACAGGTCAAGAACCCTAACTCGTGGCTCACCAATCACCATTAACAATATTAAGTAAACAATTACCAATTCAATTCAATTCGATTCTGAAATCAAATTTAGCTTCAACAGCAACAAATCCAAAAAAAAACAAAAACCGGTTATTTGAAGAAAAGTACCGGAATATACTTGAATTTTCTCTTCGGAGGCTCCTCTGCCGCGACGGCGTCGTCTTGAATTGAAATCGTTGGGTCGGCATTGCCGTGATCACTGTTACTGCTGCCGTTATTATTGTTATTGTTCTCCTTGTTTTGGCTGGCGGTGATCGGGGTCCATTTGTAGAACAATAGGTGGGAGGAGCCATTACTCCTGACGGTTCCGTTTACCGGCGTGTTGTGATGGTGGTTGGAACTTGACGGCGGCGCGTGGACCCACTTCTTCTTCCACTTGCGAACCGGACCGGTGAAGACGGGGGCGGGGCCGTAACGCGCCGATGAACGGCCGGATCTGGCTCCGACGCCCTCCATAGAATAAATAACGTTTGAGACGGCGGCGATTCACACGGCGGGGCGGCTTTGCTTGATTCGTTTTTAAAAGAGGGAAGCTATTCGGTTTGTACGATGCAGAGGTTGTACATTATGGTTGTTACACCTACTTACCTTAACTATCTGAAATTGGAATTAAAATTCTAAATTTGGCCTATTTAGTTTTGACAAAATTCTAATTTTGGAATAAGCTTTTATTCCAATTTTTGAAATAAATTAACAAATTTCTGAAATTCCGTAATTTCGGAAATCAACATAAATTTTCACTACTCGAATTTTCCGAAAATGAATTTGAAATTGATTTTCCACATTCATTTTTTTTTTGAAATTATATTTTCCAATTTGATTCGTCAAATAACATTATTGCTCCTAGAAGTTGATTATTTGGGGAAAAAAGATATTTGATAACACTAACATAAAATAATTCACAAATTTATTTTTTTTTTATAAATGAATGCATTCTAATAAGTTTAATATTTGAATGTATATAGGGGTGTAAATAAGTCAAGCTGAAGTCGAGTTTGACTGTTTTGGCGAGCTCAAACTCGAACTCGTGTCCATTTTAACGAGTTTGAGCAAGAACTCTTCGAGTATTTCTTTTTTTGGGCAAAAATAAACTCACGAGCTCAAGAACAATTAAAAATGAATTTGGGCTCGATTGGTCAAAAAGTTCGAACTGCAAAATTTAATCTTTTTCGAGCTAGCTCAACTCATTTACACTATATAAACATTAAAAATCTCAATTACCAAGACTCGAAAAGAAAGAAATACAATGGTAATATTTTAGATTTTAATGACCATAATCCTTTTTCGAGAAGGCATAAACCCCACCGCCGGAGTGCGTAAAACCCCTATTTCTGCTAATTTCAATTGCAATGGAAACCCAAAACCCCGTTCTCCGGAGCTCCGTTTATCGATCCGCTTCTTCAATTCAAACCCGGAATACCCGTTTACCCACAAGATTACCCATATCTGCAATCGGTTCTCCAAAATGGGTTTCTCAGTGTTCATTATACGCAAACTGTGCACACACCAATAGAAACTTACAGTGCAGAAATAGTGTCGGGGAAGCCGAATACAAAGGGGTTTCTTACTTGGAAGACGATAAGCCAAAATCAAATATCACAAGGAAAAATTTGGCAGTGTTTGTATCTGGCGGAGGCTCCAATTTCCGGTCAGTTCACACGGCGACAACTAACGGCGATGTTCATGGCGATGTTGTTGTTCTAGTTGCTAGTAAACATGGTACATTCTCCTTCTTCTTTATTATTGTTATTATTTTATTTTTTGGGAATGCTTGATTGATTGGTTAAAGCTCTCAACTTTCTTGCAATTAATGGTCTCTCTCTCTCTCTCACACACACACACATATATGTATTTTGAAGAATGTTTGATGGTGAAAACTCTCATTTTTAATATTTAAAATTAATAACTATGAAGAATGCACATACCATGGCATTATTTACTTATCATTATATATTTTTTGCTGATTTATTGACTCTAGTAGTTGTATAATTCAATGTGTAGATTGCGGAGGTGCAGAGTATGCGCGCGAGAAGGGTATTCCGGTAATTGTGTTTCCTACAACGAAAGACAGCCAAGAGGTTCTTTCTGCTGAAGACCTTGTCGTTGCTCTGAGGTTAGAGCTTAATTATTTATCGAAAGTAGTCATGTAATGAGTGTCGAATGTTGTTCATTCGAAATCATGTGCAATCTTTCGGATATTGCCACCTGGCGGAGTTATTTCTTCCACTTCGATACCTTTCCTTTTTCTCTTTTCTTTATCTTTTCTTCTTGTTTATGCACATTACCCCGTGTGCAGATCCTACGAGGTTGACTTCATTCTTTTAGCTGGTTATCTGAAGCTTATTCCTGCTGAATTGATTCGATCGTATACGAAGGCCATACTGAATATCCATCCGTCACTTCTTCCAGCATTTGGCGGAAAAGGGTACTACGGTATGAAGGTGCATAAAGCCGTCATTGCTTCTGGAGCAAGGTATATAGAACTCGACTCCTTGTTTTAAGATGATTGTATTCTTTTGAAATTAATAAGTTTCGTATTAAAAAAAAAGCTGCTTAGGACAATTGCCATTGGTGAGATGTCGATTATTGGCTCATTCAATTGTTCGTTCGTTTTAAGCGACAATCCTTAATCATTCGAATTTGGTTCACACCATTTATTTGGGAGTGACGAACATAATCAAGCAAGAACTCTCATTTGCTCTTCAGGCTCGTACCTTCAGCTTTTTCTTGAATCGTTAACGACCTAATTTATTGTAATAATCTAGGAATTTCTAACAAAGCATAGTTTATCAAAGGTTCGTTAGAAAATATAGGAATAGAATTCCGAAACGCAAACTTTGGCAAGAACATGGATCGTTTTTTCACAAGTAATTGTTGTATCCATTTGTATTTCTTTTTTCCCTCTACGTTTCACCTAGTTTGTCTTCCTTAAAGATACAACTTATTGAAATGTTTATATGTATTTATATATAAATAGGTATTCGGGTCCCACAATCCACTACGTTGACGAAGAGTACGACACGGGCCGGATCCTTGCTCAAAGGGTAGTCCCTGTACTAGCAAAGGATACACCCGAGGAACTTGCTGCTAGAGTTCTTCACGAGGTAATCTAATTTTTTTCACAGTCAACCTTATTTTGGATGGTCAAAATTCGAACATCGAACTTGGATTTGTTTTATTCCGATTTTTTTTTATCTTGTGCTTATTAATTCTTACGATGTGAAATCATTTCAAAATCAGGAGCATAAATTATACGTGGAGGTATCGGCTGCATTATGTGAAGAACGGGTAATTTGGCGAGAAGATGGTGTCCCTATTATCCGGAGCAAAGAAAACCCCCTCGATTATCAGTAGAAAGTATTGAAGCAGCATAGGGAAAATGTGGGGCCCACAATGGGGGTTTTGACCCCCACAAAAAATGTAGTTTTCTTATAAAGAGATTTGTTATTTTTCTAGAATTCTAAAAATGCAGCACCACACACGACACACCATAACCTGGCTGGTTTCATGTGAGGTGAAGATTAATGATGTATTAACCTTAAAAAGAAAAACATAATATTGGATTTGGATTGACGGATTTTGATTTGATGAGCGGATTATCGGGTAGATAAATTTGACACCGTATAGGTGAGCGTAGAAGACGATACATTATAGAGGGAGGTGATTGTAATTATCCAAACATGAAGAATATTTTCGTAATTTAACCTTAATTCATGGGTGACCGTAATTTGCCCTAAATATTTTTATTTGAGTACACAATAGAAGAGTTTTTGGTAGATGTGATACGACGTTGTTTGATTATTTTTTATTAAAATATATTACTCATAATTCATCAATGTTTGTTCCTCAATTGTGACTGAAAAATATCATTATAGATTATAATTACCAGACGAACTTAATTATTCAACCTGAAATGATTTACGCGGCAGCAAAATTACGAATGTCGTTCACAATAGTCTTATCTTTCTCTCTCTCTAAAAATCCTCAAATCCACCCAAATCCCAAAACCCTCAAAAGCCCCAAAATTCACAAAAATCCTCAACATCTCTCACAAATCCTCCCAAATATGAAAATCTCGTCAATTTGAAATGTAATTAATCATCTAAAGTAGTTATATATATTGAATTTGGGGTTAATCATGTGAAAATCCCACGAAAATCGCGATTTGGGGCTGTTTTTAGTGTTGGGTTTTCGAATTTTCCACGCCCATTTTGGGCGTGGAAAATTACTTCGGGCGTTCGGTCCAGACGCCGGTTCTGGACCGGTCGTCCAGTTCATTTTTTTTTTGCCCAGTATAACCGAATTGAATGAGTATAATTAAATAAGTATTAGTTATCAAACTTGCAGTAGCCTAGTTGGTCAGGCGTTTCATCTATTTCACTATAGACCCGTGTTCGAGCGTATTTGTTTACCCAGTATAACGAAATCGATAATTATAGTTAAATAAGAATTTATTACTAAAATGACTGTAGCGTAGTTGGTTAGGCAAGTTAGAAATTCAATAGATGGCGCTCGTGTTTGAGTCCTTAGAGTAGCACAAGTATATATGATTTTTTTAATTTTTTTTTTAAAACTTATTCAGCACGCGCGCCCAAACCGAGCGCGGATAGCTGTGATGGACGCCCAAACCGGGCGCCGGAAGTACTTTTCCGCGCCTAAACCGGGCGTGAATCGAGCTGTTTCGCACCCAGTTTAGTCGTGAAACCTATTTTTCGGCATCCAAATTGGTCGTGGGTCGCGTTTTCGCGATTTAAAGAACAAAAGCGAACAAATTTTTCCTCATTGGATTCCGTATCTCGATCCTCATTCGATGCACTCATTTTTTTTTGCAAATGGCTGCAATAACATGAGTTTTGGAATGATTTCTAATATAAAAGCTAAAATTGTAGAGAGAGAAAGAAAGATAGAGAGTGAATTTTTTAAAACGACATTCGTAATTTTGCTACCGCGAATACCAACACTCATTGAAAAAGAAGAAATTGCTACCATGTACTAGAAGCTAAAGTCGCGTAATGCAAACGCGAGATAGAACTCAGGTCAAGTAGGCCCAAATAAATATGTGGTCAAGCGTGCCATTTACAGAGTCCAGCCCATTTAGAACTAGCTCTTCTATCTATATAAACCGCGTCAAATCGCTAGGGTTTTACATCATCATCTTTACTTCTCTCTCTTCTCTGCCTTCGCAGTTTTCTTGCTGGTTTTAATTGGCTTCCGTTCTAGTTTTGAATATGTATATTTTTTATTTATTTTTATTTTATTTTGAAAGGAGAAGAAAGCTACATGTACTCCAAGGAAGGGTGAAAGAAATATACCCTTAAATCTTGATTTGCCAAAAATGGCTGTAGCTATATTGAATTCATGAGAAGTTATCTGGCCGGTTGTTGTTTTTGGGATCTCGAGATCTCAATCTTCCGTCGACACATCTGCTTACCGAATTTCTCACATTCTTCTTTTCACCTTCTTTTCCAATTTCATTTACTTTTTTCCAATTAATTCTTTTAATTTTAATATCTAAAATCTTTTGGGGTCACCTCCGCCAGGAGGCGGCGGCGGTTGAGATCTAACCCTGAATTTTCCGATGTCCCTTTTGACTTTAGTTTCAGTCTTTCGGATAAGTCAGAAGAGTATAAAATTAAAAAGTGAATTGAGAATTAATTAAATTTTCATTAACCCAATATATCTAATTATTAATATTATAAATTATGTTAAATGTTTTAAAATTCGTAGCATAATCAAAGTTAAATGGTCAGATTCGTCTTTAAGTTACTGACTTATTCCCAGATTCGAGACTAATCAGCCGAATATATAGTGGTTTGACTTTAGTTTCAGTCTTTTGGATAAGGGTATAAAATTGAAAATCGAATTAATAATGTAGGGTATCAAATCACCAAGCTCCATTCAGCCTGCTATAGATATATATGAATCCCTCTTGGCAGTATTGATTACAGCCAAGAAGAATAGATATATGTATATATAGGTATGTATACCATACCGAAACACGAATGACCAGTATGAG